GGTGTGGCTATGTACCAATAAAACTTTATTCACAAAAACAAGTGGCAGGCCAGATGTGGCCCATGGGCCCGCCTTAGATGATATGCCTTCTCAATAAAGAGATTTAGAGAAATAAGTAGCACGGAAGTGCTTAATCCCACCATTGAAAGAACCACAGTTAATGTGTGGATGTGTTTCCCTGTCTTTAAAGACCCTTGCCCATAATCGGGGTCTTGCCGTATTCACCATGCATTTTGTATGTCTTTAGATAACAGACAGTCCCGAGGATGTTTCTGTCATTGAAAGGGGCCTGTAGACTGTGTCTTCCCAGCGCACGCCACCCTGTTATACGAATCTGTCATTTATGTAGTCTGTGCGCGATGGTTGAATGGTTTGGTTAGAACCGTGTGTGTGCGCATGCGCACACGCACGCAAGCGTGCTTGTCTTTCAATATAAAAGCAAAGGACGTCTTTGAATTCCTTCCTTCCTTGGGTGAGATCGCTGGCAGGGGGAGGTTAGGGATGAGCTTGCCTGGAGTCTGCAAAGTTCCGCCTGTCATCTGGCGCTTGGTGGAGCTGCTTGGCTCCTCCCTGCGTCCCCCTGAGGCTGACGGTGTCTGCCCGAGCTCGATGGGTTCCGAGTGGGGGTTGTGATGTGGACCCACCCTCCTCCTCTGGGGGATTCTGCAGGACCCAGCAGCCACCTCTCCCTTTGCCGTGGATGCTTAGGGCATCGCGTGTCTCCTGCCTGGGGGAGCGCTGTGAAGCTTTGCTGATTCGCCCGCAAGTGGTGCTGTCCAGCCCCCAAGGTGCACTTGGCGGGTGGTCAGGCTGCCCCGATGGGAGCGCTGTCCAAGAACCCAGTTCTGCTTGGCGTCTGGGGCACCCATAGGGGTGGCCTTGCTTTGAGGCTCCGCTCTGCTGGCCTCACCTGGGAATAAGAAGCTGCTCATGGGTTTGAGCCCAGGCCAGAGCAATGAGACCAGGATCTTGGAGCTGGGGAGAGAGATGGGGGCCGAGGGCTGCAGTTAGCCGGCCCAAGCCATAGACGAGACGCTGATCCCAAGGCAGGGTAACTTGGGGCCATGACCCGCAGGTAACATGGTGTGTTTGGCTGGCGGTGGGGGCTTCATGCTCCGCGTTCCCCACCTAAGTCCCCACCTCCTGGCCTTGCACCTCTCCCTGTCCTCAGAATCTGCTCAGCCCTGAGGGGGTACCACCACCCTGTCTTGGTCAGATTCGCCCAGCTTCTCCCGCCCATGCATGCGGTTCTGGTGGCTGTGTGTATCACGAAGTTCCACACCGTGGAACACGGGGCCCTGGGGCGTGCTCAGGCCTTGGGCGGCCGTGCAGGCCTCTTCTTGCCCTGTTTGTGCCTGATTTCTCCATCAGAAACTAATGACACGGCCAGATTCCCCTGGAGGGTGCCTTCCATCTCTGTCGCAAGTGCTGACAGGGGACTGCCAAGTTGGGAAGCAGGAATTGGAGCAGACAGGATCCGTCCCCTCCCTTGCAGACACGTGTGTCCCAGAGAGTGGGGAGCTGGGAGGGGCTGTGGTGAGGACAGTCGGGGCCTCGCTAATGAAAAGAATAAAAGCAGACAGCGAGGTCTGCCCTGTCTGGGGACTCTGTGGCAAGGCTCCCTCCTGCCTGCGCCGAGCCCTTCCCAGCTGCAGCACAACAGCCCAGCCAGCCCTTGTCAGGGGAATGGCTCCTGCAGGCGCGCCTGATCAGAAGAGGCCGGAGGTGGTGGCCACGGTGGGGGCTGGGCATTCAGCAGGAGGCAGTAGCTCAGGGGAGCTGGGTCTCCTCACGGCCCTAGCGAGTTCCTCTCCTGCGCTGCAGCCCTGCTGAGTTGTCCAGCACTCACAAATGACCACCCTGTGTCCCTGATTCCTTGAGGCTGTGCTTCCCTCACCGTGACCCCCGGGCCTTGCCTCTTTCCCCGTTTCCTTCATGGGTGCCCTGGCTCCCCAGCTCCCTGCAGAGCCACGTGGAGACTCACAGGAATGCCGTGGGCAGGCTGGCACCAGCAGCTTCATCCTGGCAGTGGCGTCAGCCCGCAGGGCAGGGGACGCGTCCGGAGCTGGGCCAGCCCTGGCTGGGCGAGTGGGCTCAGGCCGGACTCCAGGCCGTGGCGATGCGCTCCGTGGAGCATGTCTGCCTGTTCCCTCTGTGGGTGCACACAGGTGCTTTTTTTAGTTACTTAAGGAGATGCAGTTGCAAAGCCGCTCAATACGAATCCCCTAAGCTGCTGTCAGTGGGGATGCCGGGGCGGCTGGGTGCCGGGGCGGCTGGGTTCCCGGGGCGGCTGGGTTCCCGGGGCGGCTGGCCCGGCCGGCAGTCTGAAATGCGGGCACCATCTGTGCTCCCACTACTCTGCGGCCAAATGACACCGCCAGCCTTTCTCTCCCGCACAATCTTTCATTAAATGAATTGAGTTTGCTGGGAATGGCTCGGCCATAAATATTCCCTCCTGCTTGGCATGGTCGGGCTCTAACTGTTCCCAAGTCCCTGCTCCCGGATCTAGCAGAAGGTTCCGTGGCTGCCCCTGGGACCGGGGAAGATGGGGAGGCAGAAGCTGCGAGAAATGCCACACAAAGGTTTCCACCCGCCCCCCACCCACAGCCTCAGATTCGGGGTCGTAAATACGTCAGTGTCTCCAGCAAAGTTCGGGCCACCTGGAAAGGTTTGTCAGGGCAAGGGAGTAGTCGAGTTGAATGACGTCTTTCCCTTCCCATGTCCTTCGTCCCTTTGAGCACGGGTGGTGGCAGCAAGACAGGTACTTGAGACAGAAGAGTGTCTTATGATGCTTGGAAATGGACTTCCCCCGTGCCTGATTGATGGAGAGGCAGAAAGTTCCACGTGGAGTTCCGAGGCTGAGGTGAGGGCTGGCAGAGGTCAGGCAGCCTGTGTCCAGCACATGTCCCTGGGCCTGTCTCTCCCCAGCAGGAGACAAGGTCTATGTCCCCTTGGGTGGGGGGAGCGTGCCTCTGGCCCCCCAACCCCCCAGAGCTTCCGCATGGCCCGTCATTATGCCTGCGGAGACTCCCAGGGGCTACTTTGTCCTCTAGAGTCTAGACCAGGAGTCTCCAAAATGCTGCCCCTGGGTCAAATCTGGCCCTGCTTGTGTTTGTCAATGAAGTTTTATTTATTTTTAATTACTTTATTTTATTTTTTGAAATGGAGTCTCACACTGTCGCCCAGGCTGGAGTGCAATGGTGTGATCTTGGCTCACTGCAACCTCCGCCTCCCGGGTTCAAGTGATTCTCCTTCCTCGGCCTCCTGAGTAGCTGGAACTATAGACGCACGCCAACATGCCCAGCTAATTTTTGTATTTTTAGTAGAGACAGGGTTTCACCCTGTTGGCCAGGATGGTCTTGATCTCTTGACCTTGTGATCCACCCGCCTTGGCCTCCCAAAGTGCTGGGATTACAGGCATGAGCCACCGCACCCGGCCATCAATAAAGTTTTATTAACACACACACCCGTGTGCATACATTTGCACATTGTCTGTGATGCTTTTGAGGCGCGGCGCAGCAGAGTTTCTCAAAGGTGAAAACACTTGGCATTTGGGCCTGTGTGACGCTGTTTGCCAGCCCTGCCCTTTCCCCTTTCCTCTGGAGATTGGTGTTTTTCACGAGTCCCATCTCAGCCTCGTCCCAGTGAGTAAGCGACAGACCAGAGCTTCCTGGCCACCTCCTGGGGTCTGAGTACTATGGTGGGAATCACCGCTTGGGCGTCTGGGTTCATGCCCTCTGGGCAGTGGCTTCCAAGTTGAGGGTCGCCAGGTCACCTGTGGAACATCCTTCGCAGTGCCCAGTGTGACAAAAGTGAGGCAGCGGCAGAGCCACCGAGAACAGTGACCTGGGAAGGGCTGAGGGCCTGAGAGTGGCAGGTCTGCCCGGGAGGCAGCCGGAGGGGACTTGAGCTCGTCCTTGCCACTCACCTGAGGTTCACAAACTCAGGGGGCCGTGCTGTCGGGTGTTTGCCCCATTCCCACAACACCCCAGGCAGGCTGGCCGCGGGCCGTGGCACGTGAGTCCCAGAGCCTCCCAGACCCTCAGCCCTTCTTCCGTCACGCTGGCATCCCTCCAGCCCTGCAGTCAGGTGAGGCTGCAGGAGCCCATGGGTCGCCATCGCCCTAGCGAGGCGCCTGAGGAGGGCTGTTGTCACGTGCTGTGATTCCTGTTGGCTCTCAGCTGTTTGGGAACTGCCATCCTTTCCCCTCTTCCCAGCCCTCTTGGAACAAGTGCTATCATGAAATACTCCATATCCATTTCTACCCACCTGGAGGCATTCTGCTTGAACCAACGGGAGGCATCTGAACCTCAGCCCTGCTGGTCTCTGGACAGCTGTGTGTGGCATGGTGTCCAGTCCTGATTTTCAGGCCCCTCATCAAGCCATGTGCCGAGCCCCTGTTTCTCCTGGGTGTCTGCTCTTGGGTTGTTCCAGCTCCCTTAAGGCAGACCAGGGACTCAGTGGGGGAACACCGTGTCCTGACTTGTGATAGAAGTTCTAGAAGCAGACCAGGAGTGGTGGTGCATACCTGTAATCCCAGGGCTTTGGGAGGCTGAGGCAAGAGGATCACTTGAACCCAAGAGTTCAAGACCAGCCTGAGCCACAAAGCATGACCCCATCTCTAAAAATTCTCCTAAGAATAAGCCAACACCCATGGTGGTGGGTGTCTCTAGTCCCAGCCACTTGGGAGGCTGAGGCGGGAGAATCACTTGAGCCTGGGAGGTTGAGGCTTCAGTGAGCCATGATTGCACCACTGCACTCCAGCCTGGGCAGCAGAGTGAGACCCTGTCTCGAAAAGAAAAATGTTCCAGAAGTGGAAAGCGCAGCGGTGGGATGGGGCGTGGGAGGGTGCTGCCGGACCACACACGGTCCCGCCTGCTCTGGGGTGTGGCGCGGGGGCTCAGGCGCCTGTCTCTGCCACAGTGCAAGTGCCGGACCACACACGGTCCCGCCTGCTCTGGGGTGTGGCGCGGGGGCTCAGGCGCCTGTCTCTGCCACAGTGCACGTGCCGGAAGGACATGGTGAAGATCTCCATGGACGTGTTCGTGCGCATTCTCCAGCCTGAGCGCTACGAGCTGTGGAAGCAGGGCAAGGACCTCACGGTGCTGGACCACACGCGGCCCACGGCGCTCACCAGCCCCGAACTGAGCTCCTGGAGTGCATCCCGGGCCTCGCTCAAGGCCAAGCTCCTCCGCAGGTGAGTTCCCAAGGGGCTGCCTTGTGACTAGCCCATCGTGATGGTGGGTGGCCCCGGCCCTTCCCATCGGCAGGAGCTCCAGGCATGTCCCACTCCTCGCTTCCTGTTCCCTCCCCACCTCCTCGTTCATCCCCCTCTTCCTGTTCTGTGTGTTTCTCTTTGTGTCTGAGGCACAGTGTTTTCTGGAGGCCTCGCCTTGCTGTGGGTTGGGGTAGGCCCTGCTCCGGCGGGCCGTATCCCTGCTGCTCACACACACGGGCTCCCACGCTCCTGTCACGTCCCCGCCAGGAGGCTGACCCTCGGTGGCCCCAGGCCCTGCGCCGTTGCTTCCACAGAGTCACCAGGCCACGTGGGTCCCAGTCCCTCTCTGTCACCACATTTCTACTGTTGGGCTACTTACCCCCCCCCCCCCCCCCGCCCTGTGCTGAGAGCGGGTGGATCCCTTCCGAGGACTCAGGGGCATCAGGTAGGCCTCGGGGCCCCTTCCCTTCTGTGTCTGCGGCCGTTCCTTTGGTGTAAAGGTGCTTCTTGGATTGGAGATCGTGGCGAGGATTGCTGAAACTGGGCCCCCGGCATGACCCTGGCTGCCCTCCTCCTACTCAGAACCCCTCCCTGCACATCCGGGTCCCCACTGCCACACAGACCCTCCCAGCTAGGGTCTGGTGTCTGCTGGGAGGAGGGGGCAGAGCATCTGTAGCCTCTTGGCCTCTGACTGCAAGAAGCCGTGGGGACACCGAGGCAGGTCCCGGCGGAGAAGATCCACTTCACGCCCAGGGTGAAGGCGAGGCTGGCCTCCCTGCCCCTCCTGGGAAGCGTTCAGGTGTCCAGGGCTCTAAGCTGCCCTTGGCACAATTGTTGACGGATTTCACTCCTATTTGGTGCCCAAGGAACATTCAGGAATCCCCTGAACTGGAGCTGGAGCCGGTGGTGGTGGTAGGGGGACGGCACAGAGCGGGCTCAGCCGATTCTCATGGGAAGGGCCGGAGAGCAAACATTTGTGACATGGTGACTTCGCAGGCCAGACCTCCTGTGTCTCCAACTTGTCCACTCCGCATGGCAGCTCAGGATCCCTGCAAATGACAGACAGTGAAGAAATGTGTGCAGCTGTGTCCATGCAGCTTTGTTTATAGACCCTGAAATCTGGGTCTGACAACATTCACATGCTGCCGAACATGAGAATTTCCTTTTTTGAGCTACTTAAAAATGTGACCACCGGCCAGGCTTGGTAGCTCACACCTGTAATATCTGCACGCTGGAGGCCGAGGCAGGAGGATTGCTTGGGTCCTGGGGTCTGAGAGCAGCCTGGACAACATAGTGAGACCCCGTCTCTACAGAAAATTTAAAAACTGGCCGGGTGTGGTAGTGTCCTCCTGTGGTCCCAGCTACTCAGGAGGCTGAGGCGGGAGGATCACTGGAGCCCAGGAGGTTGAGGCTGCAGCGAGCCAGCATTGCACCACAGCACTCTAGCCTGAAGGACAGAGCAAGACCTTGTGTATTCAGGAAAAAAAACCACGTAAACACTATCCCTGGCTTGTGGGCTGTACCCAGACGGGCTGCTGGCAGGGCTGGTCTTTGGCCAACCGTGATGGCCCCAGTGTGGGGGTGACTTCCCCTTCCCTTTGAGCAGTGACCTTCCCTCTGCAGCCGTCTGGTCACTGCTGGCCTGATCCTGTCCCAGCTGGCCATGGACGGTGCCCACTCAAGACCCAGGCACTGAGCACCGAGCTCAGCCTTGTGGGGTGGAACCCCTACCTTGGCCCCCACCACGCTCTGCAGAAACAGACCTCGGAACTAGTTTCTGAAAAGTCACTGCTGGTCCAGAACCTTCTCTCCTAGTCGGGCGCTGCCTTTTTGAACATGTCCATCTGTCGGTGAGTCTGGGACTCCTGGGCAGTCTGGGCCTCAGCCTCGGCCTCCTCTGTCTTCCCCACCCTGCGGCCTCTCTCGGGGAATGTTCCCTCTGCCCCTCCCGACAGCCCCCAAGGTGAATCTGCTTCTCCGGCTCTTGTTATCTGCCTTCTGATTTCCTGCCTCCTGCGTGCTCCTCATGAAGAGCCGCTTCCTGCCGAGGCTGCTGCAGGTGCCCCCACCAAACCCGCACAGCCCGAGCAGCCCAGCTCCCAGGCCAGGCCGGACGTGCTGTTTGCATAATGGTTAATTGATTGTGGCTCAGGCTAATTGGTCAACAGAGTGGATTGCCAATAAACAGGAACTGTGTTCCCGGAGTGAGATGGGACTAGAGGCCGTCTAAATTGCCTGCCAGGAGGAGACACGGAAACCACTGCACGTCTCCTGTGCGCACTGCTGTGAGGAACCTTCTTTGCACACAAGAAGTGGACCCCCCAGAACCAGTCCCTGCACAGCCTGGCCTCCTTGCCCCGGCCACCCCCTCACTCCTAGTCACGACCTGCTCCTCCCAGGAGCCCCCCTCCTGTCCCCGCCCGCACCACCATCCTGGGGGCTGCCTTCACCCAGCAGTGAACCTGAGTAACAATGAAGTCAGCTTCCCAAGAACATAATTTTCTTTAAAGTCTTCAGTATGTAAAACAAGGCTGATTTTAAGTAATGGGAGTGCTTTTCTCTGGAGAGGCGGATGGGGGACTCAGTTTCAGAGTGTAAGCCTACCGTCCTCCCTCCGTCAGGAAGGTGGCTGGTTCTCAGAAGGGCCTCTGCACTGGCCCTTTATCCACGGGACCCTCTCCACAGGGCTCACCTTCTCCCCTGGGCCAGACTCCCTCCCTGAGGGCGTGTCCTGGGGCCAGGGTGGCCCCGTCCGAGCGTCTGTGGCTCTGGCTGGGTGGGGAGATGCAGTAGACCGGCCCTGTCTCCCAGCTGAGGGGCCTGTGGACGCACGCTGGATCCTTTTCTGGTGGGGGTTGTGGGGGGCTTCCTGGGCCCTGCAGGGTGCTGAGCAGCATCTCCGGCCTCCACCCACTCCATGCTAGGAGCATCCCCAGTTGTGACAACCACAAATGTCCCCAGACATCACCCAGTGTTCCCAGGTGGGAACTCCTGCCCTAGACCAAGGGATGGCATCAGAGTGGGTGCCATGCTCTCACCCCAGTGGGATCCAAAATTCCCTGCTCTCAGCATGGCTGTGGGAAGGCCCCCATGTGTTTACCAGGTCCCCATGGGGTGCGGATGGTTCGGCACAGCTGCCTGAGCTCAGAGGAGACAGACTGCTCCCACCTCGCTGCCTTACATGGGTCTCTTCTGGACTAAATCTTGGGCGAGCGTTAGAGGCTGTATTCTTCCCTGATTAATGGATCACCTAATACTGCAGCCCGGCTCCTGGTGGCGCTGTGCGTTCTGGCTCCCTGCCTGGGCCGGAGCCCTCTTAGTATTCTCTGGCATCCACGCCACACTCGTCCATGCAGGGTCTTTCCATGCGATAAGCGCCACGTACACATGCCCCAGCAGGTGTGAATTTGTGCACCCGCCTCACCACAGCCTCCCTGCCACTGCTGTCCTGTGAGCCTGTGGGCCCAGGCCTTGTCTTCCCCACTCCTCCGTTCCGTGATGCTTGGCATGGCTCTGCCTTGGCCTGTTGCCCCCAAGCCAGTGCAGGACACCACCACGCCCCTGACACCGACTCCCCACCCAGGCTGCCACACCCGGGCTGCAATCCTGAGCCCTCCCTGCCAACAGGGACCTCAGCCCTCAGGGACAAAGCCTCATGAGCACAGGGGCCCACTGGCCCCTGCAGGGCACCTACAGCCTCAGGGACTCACTCGCTGTCTCCTGTCTCTTTCCTGGAGCAGCCCTTCAGTTTCCCAAAGGTGCAATTCCTTAGCACAGAGTCTAGTCTTGGGGCGGGGAGCACTGGTTCAGTGGGCAGGGGTGGAGGGCTGGGTCTGAGGGCTCAGTCTGGGGCTGCCCTCACAGCTGCCTCTAAGCCTGGGGCCAAGGCTGGGACAGCCCCCTTCCTCCTTGCCCTGTGAGAAGCCCTGAGCCAGAGCAGCACTGAGCGCTGCCCGTCCCACCCTGGGTGCTGCAGGTGCCCGGTGTTACCTGGTGATGGCGCCAGAGGCCATCCACCCGCCTCCTGCCATGTGAGCTCCGAAAGACACCTGCTTCCCCCTTGTGCAGTGATCTGGACTACAGCTACCTTTTGGCTCGCAGGAAAGAGCCTGGGTGTCCAGTTAAGCCTGGCAGGCTAAGTGCCTGTTTATCTCCACTCTCCGGAAACACCAGGGAGCAGGAGAGGTAGTGGCAGCTGAGCACGTCTGCAGGTTTTGAAAAGAAGGGAAGGGTGGGCAGGAGACACCATAGGCCAGCAACTGGGAGGACAGCCAGCAAGGAGCGGCTGGCCCGTACCACGGGGCTGCAGAAAGACACAGCGGGCAAATGTGGGCAGCTCCTGGGGGGCTTGGGGGTGTGGGGGGAATTGGCAGAAAATGGTGGGGGGCTCTGGGCAGAGGGAGGTGACTTCCTGGGGTGGGCAGTGGGGCCTGGCTGACAGTCTCACCCACCCCCAAGGCCCCAAGAGACGAGAGGAGCCAGGGTCCTCTCCCAGAGAACAAAGGGGCCCAGTGGAGCGAAGCCACAGATGCTGATCCTGGGGCTCCCCCAGAGTCACAGGCTCCTGCCCTCAGTCCCTGCCACTGCCTTCAGGCCCAGCTCACACACAGCTCGGCACCGTGAACAGAAGGACAAAAGGCCACACGCTGGAGACTGCGCTCCTGTGACAAAGGCAGGGCCTGCATGGCAGCTAGAGGCAGAGCTCCGCAGAAAGAGAATGCAGTGAACCCAGGGCCCTGGAGCGGTGCCGGGACTCTGCCGTCGCTGTGAAGAAACATTCCCGGGACAAGTGGCTCTCGGCTGTTACCATCCAGAGAAGAGGGAAGCCCCGCTGCGGACTGGGGGGTGCTTGACAAAGCCCCTCCCACAGCACAGAAAGAGCTGGAAGATGAGAAGGATTAGGAAGTCCAGGAAATCCAGTCCCTGACAGGAGTTTCAGACAAAGAGAAAAGTGTCCCAGGACCCAAAGACTTGTATTTCCAGGTGAAAAAGTCTACCCAAGCATGGAAATTGCCCCAAACACAATGCATCCCTGTGAAATTTCACAGCTCCTGGATGAAACAAACACCCTAAAAGCTTCTGGAGCAAACATCACATAAACAACTCACCGGACCGGGGCTGGACAAGGTGGCTCACGCCCGTGATCCCAGCGCTGTGGGAGGCCAAGGCAGGAAGATCACTTGAGGCCAGGAGTTTGAGGTCAGCCTGGGCAACATAGCAAGACCCTGTCTCTCAAAAAGAAAAAAAAAATTTAAAAACAGGAGACCCTATTAGCACTGGATTTACAGTCATAATGCCTCAAGCTAAAAGACAAAGGAACAAGGCCTTCAAAAGTCAAAAGAGGAATAATTCTCCCCAAATCCTTTACCTAGCCAAATTGCCAAGAAATGTGTGAGGAGAATAAGGATCTTTTTAGACATGCAGAGTCTGGGATTCTACCTCCTTTCTCAGGAAGCTGCTGCAGGATGTGCTCCAGATAAACAAGGTTGTAAACCGAGAAAGCTATGGGACTGAGGAAACAAGAGCTAACCCAGGAGAGTCAAGGGGAGTCTCAAGATCATGGGAGAAGGAACCAAGACCCCCAGGTGTCACTGGGGAGTGGGGGCACCCTGCATAGGAGGTCACAGCAGGAGTTTAAGAGAAATAGCAGGGAGCTCAGAGATAACAAGGAAGCTAAGAATCCAAAGCAGGAGGCCAGTTCCAGACCCTGGGAAGGGCGGGCGGGGAATGCAGCCCAAGTTGCTCTGCAGCTCATGAATGCACAATGTTTATGGGGCATAAAAGCGTAAATGTGGAATTTGGCTGCAATGGAAGATGGTGGCAGGTGCAGACAGAGAAGGGGACGGTCGTGGAGGCCAGCGAGGATGGCCACAACCTCAGTGCCTGTGCCGGGAGCCAGATCCAGAAACAAGCATCATCGGCTGCAGAGACATGAAGGGGGATGAGGGCATCAGGGTCGGGAAGAGGAGTGCTCTTAGGACCCTGGAGATACCCCAAGTGATGGACGCCCCTCTGCCGTGGGCCGTGCTCCCCTTGCTGCTGCGGTGCATTGAGCTCTACCCAGTTCCATGTCGTGTGGAGCTGGGGGGTCTCAGCCTGGCACTGCTGTGGGTAGGGAAGGGCTGGGCTGCAGGGATGAGGTCCCAGAGCCCTGAGCCCAGTAGGCGTTGGGCAGCAGGACAGGCCAGGGACCCTCTGGGGAAGGCAGAGTAAGGCTTGAGGGCTGTGGGGTGCCCCTGGTCAGCTGTAGGAGGGGAGGGCTGTGGTCAGAAGCAAACTCTCTGGCAGGTTTTCAGGGTAGGGGTGGAGGGAGGGACTGCGGAGCAAGGTGAGTGGAGTCGGGGGTGCCCTTCCGCTGGTGCTGTCTGGGACCAGGGCAGCCCCACTGTGGCATCCCGGCCCTACAGCCTTGGGACATTCCCAGACCAGGAGGGCAACCCGACCTGGGACGACAGTGGTGACGAGCCAGTTGCACCCCAGTGCTACTCTGAAGCTCCCTACGCCTGAGCCCGCTGTCTCCATGTGCAGCAGGCACCCAGCATTTCCCCAGCCCCCGAGTGGAGGCTGAGGCTGCCTGCCCAGAGCCATCCTCTGACTGCTATGGTGGAGAATGTTCCCTGGAGGGCAGGGGCAGCCCCCGTGTCCCCCACCCACCTCCTGCTCCCTGTGTTAGTGACTCTGGCCCCCCGCCCACCCCTGCCTGCCTCCCGCCTCCGCCCGGCTGCCCCGCAGCAACCTCGTGTGCACCATGCCGTGTGACGCCATGCCTCCAGTCCACCTGCTTTCTGCCTTGAGTCATCGTGGTGGGCCATGCTGCAGACATCGGGGAGCACTGATTTTAGCAAGTCAGGCAGTTGAGGAGCAAGGAGGGAAGGCTTCCTGGAGGAGGTGCCCCAGAAGCCAGCATGGAGCACAGGGCGGGCAGAGTGGCTGGGAGCAGCGGTGGGCAGGGTCAGGTCCAAGTGTCCTGGGGGAGCGTGGGCTGCTGCTGGCCCATGTGACAGCCTGGTCCAGGCAGCGAAAGCTGGTCCTGGTGATGAAAGCCCCGCTGGCAGGCCCACCCCACCTTGCTGACCAGTTCGTTCTTGGAGGGGCAGCTGCCACAGGGACCCCTGCGGGATTGAGGTGTCCGAGTCTGAACTCACAGGGACAGTAGACACAGGAAGGGCCTGGAAGCCGCAGCTGGCATTGGCAATTGTCCTGGAAGCGCTGGCACTCCCAGCTCTGCTTGGCAGCTGGCGGGCTTGTCGTGGCTGGATCTCAAGTGGGGACGGGGAGAAAGGTGTCTGGGGAGCTGGGCTGTGTGGCCTCGAGCTCATGGCCTAGGGAGGGCCCTGGTCAGGCCAGGGCGTGGGGCAGCCCGGAGGTGGGCCTGGAGGAGATGCAAGATCACTTGCCCTCGGGAGGCACTAGTGACCCGCCAGGCCTCGGCTTCTCCGCAGTCCCGGCTTCTGCCTGAGCTCCCTGAGAGCCACCCCCTTCCCATCTGCAAAAAGCTTTTGCCTCCTTGCTGGAAAGACCCTGGAGGTCCCCGGGGAGCTGGTGCAAGGCCCTGGCCACTCAGCTGCAGGTTCACCGGCTGCGCCACTCCTCCTTCCTTTCTCAGCCCCTCTCGTTCTCATTTCTAAGAAGTCCCGGCTCAGCCACGCCTGTATGCCTCAGACTCAATCTCTCACTTGGGGCTGCTGTGCAGGAGCTGGGGCCTCCCTACTGTACTCCGGGATCATGGTGCCCAGGCTGGGCAAGCAGAATGCACCATCCTCTTGGGCCACACCTGCCCTGGAAGCAGATCCTGGGCTCGGGGCACAGAGGAGGCCCTGGCAGGCCCTGGGGTGTGGGCATAGGTCAGAGCAGCAGAGTGTGAGCTGGGGGCTCCCACGCGTCTCAAGGGCTGCAGAGAGAGGACCCAGGGAGTTGGGGACAGAGCCAGGTGCCCAGGACCAGGCATCCTGGGGAGTTGAGCAGAAGTTCTAGAGAAAAAACCCCTGAAATTTACATTCTAGACAAATTAGTCTGAAAGAAAGCAGACACTGGAGAAAGACTGAGGAGGAGAGGAAACCAAGTCTAGAGAGGAAGAAAGAGACCAAAAGGCCGGGGCTGTCGTAAGTGTCCTCCTCGTTCCGTTTGTCGTCCAGGCATTTTCCATGAGCGCTGTTTCCTGCGGAGCTCACACTCCGTGTCTGTGTCCCATGGCACACGTGGCTCCTGCCGCCCTGTCCCGCCCGTCATCCCACCTGGTGTCGGTCGGCTTCCCATCTCCAGCTGTCATCAGCGTCCCCTGCTTGACACCATCCCCACTGCGTCCATTGCCCCATCTCCCTTTGGCCTCTCCTCCCACACAGCTCCTGCCCCCCGAGAGCAGAACCCCACCCAGGGTTCCCCTCGCCCCTGGCCTGCAGCTGGGAGGCTCCCTGCTGCTGGGCACTCTTCTGGGGTGGGCGGGGGCTGCGTGCTGCCAGAAGGAGTGCAGAGATCAGGGGCCCTTCCCTCCCTGGTCTCCCCTCCTGCCTGATAAACCTCCCTCTCCAGGTCTCACCGGAAACGGAGCCAGCCCAAGAAGCCCAAGCCCGAAGACCCCAAGTCCCCAGGGGAGGGTGCAGCTGGGGCGCTCCTGGAGGAGGCCGGGGGCAGCATGAAGGAGGAGGCCGGGTTGGAGGCCGACCCCGAGGAGGAAGAGGAGGAGCCGCAGTCACTGCCACACGGCCGGGAGGCTGAGGGCGCAGAAGGTCAGTCTCCGAGGGGCCGGGCCTGGCACCACTGCCTTCCCACACTCACTGGGTGTCTCCTGGAAGGAGCCAGTGCCTGCTGCAGCCAGAGGCCGTGCTTTGTAAGAATCTGATCCAGTGGCTTGCTTTCCAGGGCAGGGCATCTCTCGAAAATAGACACTATGGGGTGGAGGTCATTAGAAGTGCCTCCTCCCCCAGAATCGAGAAGAGCAGTTGTGAGTGTGGGCGCAGTGGCTCCCACTTGTAATCCTCGCACTTTGGGAGGCCAAGGTGGGCGGATCACTTGAGTCCAGAAGTTTTGAGACCAGCCAGTGTAACATAGGAAGACCCTGTCTCTACTTATAATTAAAAAAAAAAATTAATCAGGCTTGCTTCCTTGCTGGAAGGGCCCTGGAGCCGGTGCGAGGCCCTGGCTGCTCCTTCTTCCTTTCTCAGCCCCTCTCGTTCTCATTTCTGAGAAGTCCCAGCTCAGCCACACCTGTATGTCTCAGGCTGAATCCCTCACTTGGGGCTGTTGTGCAGGGACTAGGGCCTCCCCGCTGTACCCTGGCATGGTGCCCAGGGTGGGCACGCAGAATGTACCATCCTCTTGGCCCACGCCTGCCCTGGGAGCAGATCCTGGGCTTGGGGCACAGAGGAGGCCCTGGCAGGCCCTGGGGCATGGGCACAGGTCAGAGCGGCGGAGTGTGAGCTGGGGGCTCCCATGTGTCTCAAGGCCTGCACCTATAGTCCCAGCTACTCAGGAGCTGAGGTGGGAGGGTGAGGCTGCAGTGGGCCCTGTGTGCACCTCTGCACTCCAGCCTGGGCGCCAGAGCAAGACCCAGTCACACACACACACGCACGCACACCCTAAACACCCCCCCAACACACACCACACACATACACCTCCAAACATACACACACACCCCCCCACACACACATAAACCAAACACACACACACACCCAGACATACACACCCCAGACACACACACCCCCTAAACACCCCCACACACACATACACCAAACACACATACCCCAGACACACACACATACACCAAACACATACACTCTCACACACACACCCCCAGACATACACACCCCAGACACACCCTAAACACCCCCTCACACACACACACACACACCCTAAATACCCACACACACACACATAAACCAAACATACACACCCCCAGACATACACACCACACACACACACCCCAAAAAGTAGACCAGGATGCTGCGTGTGGCCCAGAGGTTGGAACGTGCCTGCAGTGGCCATGGCCGCCTCTGAGCAGAGGGCCGGCTCTCACTGCTCAGTTTAGAGCTTCAGCTTCTGGGAGTCTGCGCAAAGTTGCTGCTCCCAGCGGGGAGTCCTTCCCTCTCCCACCCTTTCTGGGCACCAGGCAGGGAGTGTGTGGGGTGTGTCGGCTGCCGCAAGTCGTGACGCCTCTGACCCAGGTCATGGGACCACATTCACCAAGGGGTCCTGGTCCTCAGTTTCCCTCTGTATGAGCCCAGCACGGCATGGTCCACCTCTGAGGCGTCAGGTCTCCAGGACATGCTGGTGTCCAAGGTGAATGTTGTTAGAACGTGGCGAGAGGCCCAGCTGCGGTGCACTCAGCAGGTGTGGGTCCCTCCCACCCGCCAGGGGCAGCCATGGGGCACCTGACCTGTAACGATGGGGTCACAGCTCTAGTGGTACTCCCAGAGGCAGGCACGTCCCTGCCCTCCTGGGTACACTGGGCTGGTATTGAGGGTCACAGTTGGCCAGCGGCTGCGTCCCTGAGGTGAGGAAAGCGAGTGTCCCTGGGGGAGAGAGCAGAGGCCAGGGGTGAGTGTGCCTCTGATGAGCTGCCCACTCGGTGTGCCATGCCGGCCCCATGTGTGTTCAGCACACCTTGGGAGGGCTTGTTGGCCGAGAGAGGCAAGATGAGGAAAGAAAAGGCGTCGTGAGTAGGAAGAAAAAGCACAGCCACCGCGGCGCTGTCTGCACGCAGCCACGATTCTCTGTAAGCAGCAGCAAGCCAGTCTACAGGTGGAGCCACACAGTGATTCAGGGATTGAGGGGAGTGGCCGGAGATGAGCCACAGGCACAGAAACCGGATCTCACTCCTCATATGTGAGGTGCTCACAGCAAACAGGGCTCCCAAAGATACGCCCCTCGTGATGCCAGCAACCAGAAAGATGGATCTGGAATATACCTAATGAGAAATGATCTCTACAGAGAAGATTACACACTTGCTTTAGAAATAAGAAAGAATTGCTAAATAAACAGAAGGACGTACCAGGCGTCAGGAGTGCCCCTGAGCAGACAGATGGCAGCCGCCCCCGCATTCTCCGCAGGTTCAGTGCAGCCGCGTTCGGGATGCCAGCAGCATTTGCTGGTTTTAGTGCAGGTGGATAAAAACCCAGGGCCTACCAAGAGGCCAGGGCCGCCCTCGCAAAAGCCGGGCTTCCCCCAGAGCTGCAGAACCCCAGCGAAGACGACAGGTCAGGGGTCTAGGAATAGGGATCCTGGAGCAGCGGACGTGCTGTGACACTGGGAGGCCTTCCCTCCCGCTGTCCAGGCCGTGGCCTCTGTGAGCACCCTGTGGCCGCCAACGTGAACCACCACGACCTTGGTGGCATAAAACAGCACATGCCTTCTCTCACAGCTCTGGAGGTGAGAAGTGTGATGCAGGCCTCACTGGGCTGAAATCAGGCCACGGGCAGGCGGCTTCCTCCTGGGGCTCTGGGGGGAACCGGTTTCCTGCCTTTCTCGTCGTCCAGAGGCACCCACGTCCCTCAGCTCGGTGCCTCCTCCCCTTCACAGCCACAGCGCAGCCTCTCTCTGCCGCTCACCCTCCTCCCTCGTCTCGTGAGGACCCTGGAAGGAGCCTGGGCCCCCGGTTACCCAGGATGCTGTCCCGTGCCGGGGCCTTCACTCAGCCCCACATGAGTGTTCCTTCTGCTGCAGGAAGGACAGTCACAGGCTCTGGGCGCCTTTGGGGCCGCTCCTCTGCCTGCCACGTGCCTAGGAATTTGTGTGGGCAAGAGAACTGGCAGCCTGTAGAGAGAGCAGGAATATGTCTTTGTAACCCAAGGCTAAGTGATGCTTCATTAAAAAGCCCAAACCAGAAAGATGAAGATGGATAAATTCAGTGACTCCCGGATACGCTGCTGTTTATCCAAAGATGGACCTTTAGGAAAGTGAGAGGGCAAGCTGACGGGTAGGGAAGGCACCTGCCATTCCGTCACCCACCAAGAGCAGGTCAGAAGACCTGAGGATCAGGAGGAGCTCGGCTCCCTGAGGAGGTGGCCACGGAGGAGGAGACCCCTGAGGCTGATGCGCGCAGCCTGCTCTGGGAAGCGAGGGGGAGACGCTGCCGACGGCTCACTGGAACACCCACCGTGCCCAGCACCAGGAGCCGGTACAGCAGGCAGCGCAGTCCCCCGCTGCCTGGGACCTGCCTGAGTCCAGCTGCGTTGGAGTGAGACCTGGTCTCATCTGGCAAAGCAGAGCGTTTGCAAACTGCATGCCCAGAGCCGCCCTCGCGGCATGTTTCCTGGAGAGACCCTTGCTGGGGGCACTAGGACTGTGCAGATGCGAGGACAGGCCAGCCAACCAACCAAATCCACGGAGAGGGCCAGGGAAGCAGCACCTTTGACGCCCTCGTCTGCCCCACAGGCATGAGCGCTGCGGGTCGCTGCTCCTTCCACCCCCGTGGCTCTCGGACACGAGCTTGCGTGGCACAGGGGCTCTCATAGGCTGTGCTCCGTTTGTTTAAAGCCCATAGACAGGGCGGCTGAAATGTACAATCTCACCACCTGTGGAGGCTGGACGTTCACAGTCCACATGTCAGCCAGGCTGGCCCATTCTGAGGACCCAGGAGGATCTGTCCCCAGCCCCTGTCCTAGGCTTGGAGGTGGCATGCTCGCGTTCCCTTGGTGTTCTCCTGGAGCGTGTCTGCTGGACTCCCCCTTCCTCAGGACACCAGCCCACCCTGAGGACCTCATTGTAACTCCTTCCATCCGGGAGCTTGAACTCCAGGCTCCGCCTCAGCTTCCCAAGTGCTGAGATTGCTGGCATGAGCCACTGTGCCCGGTTCTCTCTTTATTCATGTGACTGACTGATCTGCGAATCTGCTCAAGGCCGCCGCCTGGAGACAGCAGCGCCTCCCCAGTCCCTGCGTGACCTGCCCTCACTTGGGTCTCGCCGTGGCCTTGGCCTCCGAGTCTCAGGTTCAGGGAGGTGCCGGACCAGTGGGTCCTGGCTCTCCTCTGCTCTCCCTTCCCCATGTGTGGGCCTGCCTGGATGGGTGGCACTCCCCTCCCCGCCGCCCACAGGGAAACTTGCCTGCTGGAGAGAAGGCTAAGGTGCGTAGGGGAAGGACTTGGGAAGATGATGCCCCGTGCAAGTGAAGCCCTGGCCTGGTCACTCATCGTTCTCCTTAAAGATGTACAGGTCGACTCGGCCCCACCCGAGGTCCCCGGGGATTCACACACCTCAGGTGGTGGTCACAGTGGTGGGAGGCTGGGTCTGGGGCAGCTCTGCAGCCTGTGGCTTCCATGGGCTCTGAAGGGCACGAGCCCCCACAGAAAGGCCAGGGACTGGCATGGAGGGTTAGAGGCCACCTTGGTGCCATGTTACGGTCTCTGCCCAGGGAGGGCTCAGGGCTGGTACTGCCCGCTGACCTGGACACCCCATCTCTGTTCCACGATAGAGACTCCTTCCTGAGAAGGCCCGGATCTGGCAGGGGTGGGCGTTTCTTGGGCACAGCCCTTTTCCCGGGAGCCCGAAGTCCTGAGAGCCTTTGGACGGGAGATGCAGCTCGGGAGAGCCTCACATGAATGCCTCCTCACAGTGAGGGATGGCGGTGCGGGAAGGTTTCCTCACGTGGTTTCTGGTCTTCCGTGAATGCCAGTTTCATGCCCCTAAAAGCTGTGAGGCCGAGGGCGCTTTCAGGGCCTGGCAGTGGGGTGTGGGTTTGTGTTTTAGATGGAACCAGCCAGGAGGGCCTGCAGCTCTTGGCACCAGGAGGGAGGCATCAGGTCTCAGAGCAAGCCCTTCAGAAGGGAGGGGCCCGGATGGCAGTTGAGAGGCTGCTTCCCAGTGGCCACCTGTGCCCCTACCCCATTCTCACCGGCTGCTTTGAGATCTGAGAAGGTTGGCCGCTGTGTTGCCCAGCCCGAAGAGGGACCAGCAGCCCCACCAGTCAGCCCTGACCCCAGGGGCCACCAGAAGGCAGGAAGGTAGCCTCCTCCACCTCTCCTAAACCCAAGGGGAGGCCCTGCCTCCTGGGAGAAGGCCTGCAGTGCAGGACACGCAGGATCTGGGGTGCAGAGCCAGGAGGGTGACCCAGGAGGGCTGGCACAGTGCTGTCCTGCCTCCCAGAATGGGGAGAGGCAGTGGTGAGAGCAGACAGCGCCTGCCCTTCCCTTCCCTCGCCCTGGAGCACAACTCTTAGGAAAGCCCTCGTGGCTGGCAACTGGCTTTAGGATATGGAGGGTAAAGGCTGCCATGTCTCGAGGGTAGCCCCAGTGCCTAGTGAAAGGCTGCAGGCTCAGCTCAGGGACCCCCAGCACATTCCAGCCGGGCCTCCGGCACTGTCAGGCACATGCAGCTGCAGGCTTAGCATGGGAGGACGGTGGTGTTGGAGGGGGTGGCCAGAGAGCCCCTGAGACTGGGACTGGGTTGGCCCAGGCATGGCAGCCAAGCATGAAACGTCGGGAGGGGTCCTTAAACCAGGCCAAAGCTGGTTGATCTCAGCAGCCTTGGAGCGGGAACAGAGCTGTGTCCTTGGAAATGGGTGGTTTCCTGCCCTCCGCAGGGCAGCTTGGGCCTCTGGACCTGTCTTGGGGTTTGCTGGAGGCTCTGGTGGAAACCCTGGTGCTGGGGAGGGGCGGTCCTGTAACCAGGCAGGCTGGTGAGCCCTGATGGTGGGGGTTGCACTGTGACAGCTTCCCTCTCCCCCAAAAAGTGTGAGCAGGGCATCAGCCGGCTGCCCTCGGGGGCCTGGGCGCACCCCCGGCCTGTCCGTTCAATAGTACCTGGTCTGTTCGGAAGCCCCTCACCCGCCTCCGCTTCCTCAGGCCAGGCAGGTGAGGGGCGGGCCAAGGTCCCTGTGGAATGCAAGGACAGAGCCCTGAGGCACTGCTGCGAAGTGTGTGGCCATCTTGGCCGCCTGTCTGTCCTGGCCTTGGTTGCCTCCCTCTAAAAGGTCCCTGTGCGCCTGCCCTGGCCTCAGGGAGCCTGGGAGCTGACAGAAACTTTTCAGGCAAGTCTGAAAATCCGGGGCACCAGCAGGCGCGGGCTGTGTGTGTGTGGAGCGGGTTGAGGCTGCAGGCAGGGATGGGGCGGTCAGCCGGGCACCCGAGGCTCAAACTACCTCCCGCTTTGTCTCCCATGCCTGGTCCCTCCAGGAGACAGAACCAGGCCCCTGAGCAGGGAGGGCTGTGGGGAAGCGGGACTTGGGGCCAATCCCACCCTTGAAGGAGGAGGAGGGAGAGAGTCCTGCAGCGGGGCCTTGGTGAGAGGACAACTCCCGAGGGCCTTGGCTCCCACCCATCCTCGCCTCCCCAGCAGAACCAGGGCCTGGGGCAGTGGCAGCAGCTGCTCAGCTCCCAGGAGGCCCCATGGGGGTGGGGAGGATGCCAGCTCCTTAGACAGCCGGGGACTTCCCCAAGGACCTTCTGAGCACCTTCTGTGTGCCATGTGCTGACGGCCCGCTCTGCGTCCCTGGCCCCGCAGCCCCTGTGTGTGGAGGGGCCTGTTGTGTGTGAGGGGCGGGTGGGAGCCCGTGGGTCCCGGCAGGGCTCTGAGGGCGCTTCCTCCTGGCTCCTTCCCCACTTCCTTGTGTGTGCGCTGAGCAGCCCCGCAGCTGGAGGCGGTGAGCTGTGTCCTGGAATCTTCCTCCCTCTCCCAAGACCATCCATGCCCCAGACCCCACGCCAGCCTCTGCCCCTGAAGATGAACCAACTGGGGCGGCCGTGGCTTGGGAAGCTGGCCCAGCGGCATGGGGGCCGAGTCCCGGGCCTCCATGAGCCTGGGTGGGCAGCGCAGCCTGAGGTGTGGAAGGCAGATCAGATCTGCCGTCTGGAGCAAGGCCGGGCAGGCGCTCTCAGAGATGAAGAAACATTGGATTTCCTTAGGGGACACCGCTGTCCTCAAGCGCCTTTTACACATGCAGGACAGGCGCTCACGGTGGGGCGTGCAGCCTCTGCAGCCTGCCTGGGCTGCTCCAGCTTCCCGGGGGCCGGGGCGCCTTGGTGAGGCAGCCGCTCCCCCCCCACATCTCCACGCCTCTGCAGGGGACAAAGTTTCTTTCCTCAGCAGCCTGTCTGCTGTGTCCGCTGTTTACCTCCCCTGGCCAGATAACAAAGGCAGGGAAGACAGCGCTCCCTGCAAGGCCAGATGGGACCTGGGAGCATTCCAGGCTCCCGTGCCAGGGGTGGCGGTGGGGGAGGAACCCGACCAATGCCCCCAGTGCCCTAGAATGCTCAGGACCAGCAGGGGTGAGGGCGGGGCAGGGGCGGGGCCGCCTTCACCTATGGCCGCTCACTTGTCTCTCTTGAGAAACAGGTGGGCGCTTGCCTGCCAAGGACACCGTGGGCGGTCCCCGAAGCCTGCAGATGGAGCTGAGTTGGGTGTGGGGAGGAGAGCTGGAGCAGGGAGGACAGGGCTGCCTGCACTCCTCGGGGAGGCTGTGGGCTGTGGCCCCTTGTGGGAGAGGGTGGGGCGATAGGGCTTCCTCCTGCCTGCGGTGTCTGCTGGGGGAGGGTCCTCACTTGACCCTTCCTGGGGTCAGCGTGGGTCAAGGGTTAAGTGGTCACCCCTGGCCCTTGGGAGCCCTGTCCCTGAGGTCCTCAGCGCTTACCACTGTACCTGGCATCACAGACTGTGGAACTGGGGACAGCTAGTGGTGGGTTTTTAGCGAGTGGTGAGATGGGACACTGTGCTCCAAACCAGACCCCAGGACGGGCCACCTGGTCACCTGTTGAGTGTGCAGGGATGAATTTCCTTCCCTTGATTTTTCCTTCCTTTTCCAGCCTGCTGGGGAAGGTGGAGGTGGAGGGGGTGAAGTTAGCGCAGTGACTGGTTCGTCCTCGTCTGCCTGGGACCTTCCAGTTTTAGCACGGAAAGCCCCACAGCCCAAGAATCCCTTGGATATCAGCCCCTGTCCCTCCTTACAGGATGTCCCAGGAGCATTGGGCGTGGAGACACACAGATGAGGGCCTGAGCCCCCGTCCCTGTTCTCCAGAGGAAGCAGGCAGGGCGCCAGGACTCCAGGGCTCACGGTGTTCCGGGGTCCAGAGTGAGCCGGGCGGCCAGGCTGCTCCTCCTTTGGGACAGGGCTCCGAGGTGCCTTGCCCCACCTCACCCCGCGTGCAGCAGCCCTCAGAGGGATTCACCCTGCACAAGCTTCCCACAGCCTGGCACAGCCCTGCTGGGCTCACGTGGAGCTGTGTGCAGGGCCAGGCCCTCCCGGGGCTCCAGGGTGAAAACCTTTCCTAGCGTCTAGAGGTGCCTGCATCCCTTGGCTCAGGGCCCCTTCCCTCCCGCTTCACAGCCACAGCACAGCCTCTTCCAGCCTCTCTCGGACTCTCACCCTCCTGCCTCCTCTCATGAGGACACTGGGCCTCCGTGATCATCGAGGATCCCCTCCCATCTCAGGGTCCTTCACTCAGTCCCACTTGCAGAGTCCCCTCTGCCACGTCGTGTCCCACGTCCACACATCCGGGAGAGCTGGCGGCTGTGACTTAGCCAGCCAGACTGCCCATCCCAGTTTTTATTTACTGCACACTTGTCCTGGCCCCAGAGTAAAACGCCACAAAGCCTGACCCCTCCCCGCTACCTGTCAGGACAGCTCCCCAGCGCGGCCCTGGGGATTTCCACACACAAGGCCCATCTGCTCACACGGCCACTAGGTCAGGGTTCATTGATCAACGTTTTGTGCGCCGTTCAAAGTTTTACTTTTGTCAGAAGGAAAACCTTAAATAGCGTTTTCACATCCGCAGTAGAAATGTACACAATTTGATATGTGGGAACAGAAAGAGTGCTTCTCCCTCACCCGAACCCCACCCCACCCAAGGAAATTCCGTTTGGTGCGGCCCACCCAGGTGGAAGCTGGGGGGACAGAGCAGCCTCCCGGAGCTGGGTTTGGGGACCCGCCTCCCACCTGCAGTAACCTCGGAAGGTGCCTAGAGCAACACCTGGCGGGTCCTCACAGGCCTTGGCAGGCGAGAGCTGCTGCTGGGCTGGCGTTCCTGCGAGACCTAGGCCCTGGGGGTGCCTGGCCAGGTGCCCCTGAGGTGATCTGAGGTGGTCTAAAGCCTGTGCTCTCTGCCCACCCGTGTTCACCTGGCCTCTCCGGGCTGGAAGCGGCCCTCAACCATCCCAGCCAAGGTTGGGGGATTTCTGGGGAGCGAGGGACCAGCTGCTAAGCTGGGGATTCTCCTCCCTGACCACCCTCTCCTCTCCCCACAGAGGATGGGAGGGGCAAGCTTCGGCCAACCAAGGCCAAGAGCGAGCGAAAGAAGAAGAGCTTCGGCCCGCTGCCCCCACAGCTGCCCCCGCCTGCTCACTTCCCCTCAGAGGAGGTGCGGTGGCTGCCATCCCCACTGGAGCCTCCGGTGCTGGGCCTGGGCCCCACGGCCATGGAGGAGAGCCCCCTGCCAGCGCCCCTCAACGTTGTGCACCCTGAGGTGCCCAGTGAGGAGCTAGAGGCCAAGCCTCGGCCCATCATCCCCATGCTGTATGTGGTGCCTCGGGCCGGCAAGGCGGCCTTCAACCAGGAGCACGTGTCCTGCCAGCAGGCCTTTGAGCACTTTGCCCAGAAGGGCCCGAACTGGAAGGAGCCGGCTTCCCCCATGGAGCTGACAGGGCCCGAGGACGGTGGAGCCAGCAGTGGGACCAGCCGTGCAGAGAGCAAGGCCCGGGCCGGAGAGGGGCAGGTGGGGAGGAGGGGGGCAGGCAGGGAGGATGGAGAGAGGTGGAGAGGAGGGGGGCAGGCTGGGTGGAGGGGGTCGGGGGGTGGAGGGGGCCAGGAGGCTGCCTGCTGGTCTCACAGGAAACTGTGGCTCTTCTTGCAGAGCAGGTGGGGTATCTGTAGTTAGAGAACAGAGATGCCTTGTGACCCTTTCCTGGGACTGTCACCCCAGAGGAGGAGACTCAGGCCTCGGGCTCACTGAGTCTGTGTCTGGCTTAGAGGAAGCCCCCAGGGGTCTGTAGCCTGGCCCTTACTGCAGCTTGTGTGTTTCAGGCACCATCCACATTTTCCAAACTGAAGATGGAGATCAAGAAGAGCCGGCGCCATCCCTTGGGCCGGCCGCCCACCCGGTCCCCGCTGTCGGTGGTCAAGCAGGAGGCCTCGAGTGACGAGGGTGAGTAGGGGTCCTCAAGTTGGCTCTCGTCAGCCTTGCTCCAAGCTCTGTTGCTGTCGGGGGCCTAGCTCCCCTTTGACCTCTTCCCACCCCTCCCCCAGGTCTTCCCCGATGATCCCAGGCCCTTCTGTGGCTATGCCACCTTATCTGTAAAATGGGGGCCGGTCCTCAGCAAGTCCAGTCAGGAAGGGTCACAGAGCTGAGGCTTGGAATCCCCAGGTCTGGGCCGAGTGCTACCTGCAGACCCGGCTCCTGCCAGCACCCCCTCCGCCAGGCCTGGGCCAGGTGCCCCGCCAGCTCACAGGTGCACAAGGCTGCAGCTCCTCCCTCTCACGGCCTGGGACCTGCCTGATGCCCGTGGCTGCTCATGTTCTCCAGACTGTTGACAGAGCGTGACAGTGCGAGTGTCAGGGGCCGTGGGTTGGGTGGGGGCAGAAGTGCTGGCCACCCCTCCCAGGTGGAGGTGATGGAAATGGGGTCAGAGTTTGGGATAACCAGGTGAGGCCTGAGAGCTTGGGCGGGGTCAACATGCAGCCCCTCCCAGCATCTGACTCGTTTCCAGTGCAGACATGCTCAGCGCCACATCATTGCTGGACACGGCCAGCAAAGAGATCTGTCCTCAAAAGCACTGTGGCTGCCTCGGGGACGGGGGGGTCTGCTGTATTCCAGCTGCAGGACCAGAGGAAAGCCCTCACCCACCCCGGCCACCCTGACAGGCGGTCACCCCAGGACAGGCGGTCACCCCAGGGCAGGCGGTCACCCCAGGACAGGCGGTCACCCCAGGACAGGCGGTCACCCCAGGGCAGGCGGTCACCCCAGGACAGGCGGTCACCCCAGGACAGGCGGTCACCCCAGGGCAGATGATCACCCCAGGACAGGCGGTCACCCCAGGGCAGGCGGTCACTCCAGGACAGGCGGTCACCCCAGGGCAGGCGGTCACCCCAGGGCAGGCGGTCACCCCAGGGCAGGCGGTCACTTCAGGACAGGCGGTCACCCCAGGACAGACGGTCACCCCAGGACAGACGGTCACCCCAGGACAGGCGGTCACTTCAGGGCAGGCGGTCACCCCAGGGCAGATGGTCACCCCAGGACAGGCGGTCACCCCAGGACAGGCGGTCACTTCAGGACAGGCGGTCACCCCAGGACAGACGGTCACCCCAGGACAGGCGGTCACTTCAGGACAGGCGGTCACCCCAGGGCAGGCGGTCACCCCAGGGCAGGCGGTCACCCCAGGACAGATGATCACCCCAGGACAGATGATCACCCCAGGGCAGGCGGTCACCCTGGGTAAGCAGTTCCCTGGGACAGGCCATCACCCGGGCAGGTGGTTGTGTAGGGAGGCAGCTGCTGTTGGAGATGCCCCTGCTGCCTGGGCTGCCCACCATGGGGGTTTCAGGGCTTGTGCCTCCCCACAGAAGAGTCCTCCCAGGCCTGAGCAGGGGCCATCCGGGCCTTGGAGAGGTTGGAACAAAAGGCTGTGGTGAGGCTTCTTCGAGTGGGAGGGGAGGAGACAGAATCTTCCGTGGAACCCTCAGCCGAGAGCTGCTGTCTTGTGTGCAGAAATCCTAAGCCCGTTTTTCATCTCCCGCTTCAGCCTTTGGTTGGGGATGCGCGTAGAATATGAAAGTGGCCTGCATGACATCTTTCATCCTGTGCGTAATTGCAGGGGTGGGCGAAGAGAGTTCTAGGAGCTCTGGGATCACAGGGCAGGAGCTCCCAGGAGTGGAGGAATCAGCAGGGGGACAGAGGAGTGACCAGGGGCCCGTGGGTTGCCTTGGGAAGGGGCCTTGCCTTCTAGCTGGGTATCCTTCCAGAAAGCACCTCCAGGGCCTCCGTGGACTCCCCGCCTCCACACACCCCACTGTGGCCCTTTGGTGAGACCATCACAGCCCCAGAACCCCAGGCATCCTGGGGCCGTGAGTGACGGATGTAGCTGGTGGCTCCGTTCTCATCCTCTGGGCCTACAGCTGCTTAGGGCCTTCCCTGGGCTCAGCTGGTGGGACTGTCAGGTCTGGGTTTTCAGAGGAGTCTTGGCCTAAGGATTCCTGAATCTGCTTTGCGGGTCCTTGGCCTCCACCTCGGGCAGCCTGCCCTGCCTTCCTCTGGATGAAGCAGGGTCAGTGCCACAGCTGGCCTGATCCAGGACCCCAGGCTTCCCTTAGATTGGGCTAAGGGTTGGGCCACAGAAACGGGTACCCTTCTCCTGGGGACAGCCCCCCTATGACCACTGGAGAGGCAGGGAGTCCAATGGGGACGGGCGGCAGGTGGGAGAGCGACCGCTGCTGCTTTTCAGCAGCAGACCTGCCTTACCAGAGTGTCCCTGTCACGAAGCTCTTCCCAGGATGGGACGCCTTGGCTTCCCAGCCCTGGTCATGGCACCTCCTGACTCCCTTCCTCACTCCTCCTGCACCTCCCTTGAGTTCAGGGAGTCTGTGCCCACCCAAGACAGGAAGGACAGTGTCCCTGAGTATCGCTGGGTCACTCCCGAAACCCCCACACAGACTCAGACGCCAGGACAGGTACAGGACAGCAGGGGCAGGGCTGGGCACTGAGTTCGGTGGGCCCTTGGCCCCGAAGGCCCCACGTGAGTGTCAGAGTGGACAGCTCCAGATGTCCAGGGAGAAACGTGCTGGGGGAGGGGCTCAGAGGGAGAAACGTGCTGGGGGAGGGGCTCAGAGGGAGAAACGTGCTGGGGGAGGGGCTCAGAGGGACCATGTGTGGGGCTGAGCCTCGGGTGGCAGCCAGTCGAGACATATGTGTCCCCTCTTGGTGGGATGGGAGACGCTGCAGTGCCAGCTTGATGGGCATCGTGGAGAATGGGGCAGCCAGGAGGCGGGTGGAGGGGGAGCCATGGACCAGGGGCCCTGCTGGGCTGCAGACCCGGCCCATCTCCTGGAGAGTTGGGGTGATTCCTTAGGTGGGTTTTTAAGGGCTTCAAGTGTCTTTCTTTCCTCTCCTCTGTTCTTCTAGAGGCATCCCCTTTCTCCGGGGAGGAGGACGTGAGTGACCCCGAGGCCTTGAGGCCCCTGCTGTCCCTGCAGTCCCTGCAGTGGAAGAACAGGGCAGCCAGCTTCCAGGCCGAGAGGAAGTTCAATGCGGCAGCTGCGCGCACGGAGCCCTACTGCGCCATCTGCATGCTCTTCTACCCCTACTGCCAGGTGGGCAGGCGCGTTGGCAGAGCTGCCCTGAGTGGGGACCTCACCCCTATGCATGTGCTCCGGCCAGGTCTAGGTAGACAGAGGTGGCGAGGGTGCCATGCCGAGGGCGGCGAGCCTGTCTGGGGGCCCTGCCGTTGAGAGCCGCCCACACCATACCTGGGAGCTGGATTTAGCACTCTGGTCCCTGAGACAAACAAGGCCTGACACCCCACAGCATCTCCAGGCGCTCGCTGTCCTTTGTGAGGCCGGAGAGGCTGCTGGCAGCCACAGGCTGGGCAGGCCGCGTCCTACGTGCGTCTTCCTAACTCGGCTTGCCAGGTAGAGCATGGCGACTTGTTCATCACATGCCCTCCAGCACAACCCAGCGCCAGGGGCCACGCAGGCAGCCTGAGCTCTGTGTCTGATGCGACCCTCATGGGAAGGTCTTCACGGGGTGGGGACAAGGCCTGACAGTGTTTGGGGATTCTGGCTTGCTGGAGGAGTGAGAAGAGGGACCGAGGTGGCCCTTGGCACTGTTATACCCAGGCGAGTTTAAACAGAAGCGCCACACATTGGTTTGTTGAGAGTCCACTGTTAGTGGCCGGCGTCCGAGAGTCAGCTAGAGCTCAAACCTCCCGGCCCAGGACAGAGGGCAGCCAACACTTTCATTTCACTTTAGGGTCGGGTGGTAAGCAGATTACAGAAGCAGAAGGAACAGGTTAGGGGAAGGGTGGGCCTCACGACAAAATTCTATGTAAAGTTTTTACTCAGGATGTGGGGTAGGCAGTTACGCAGTCGCAGGTGCAGGAAGTATGGGCCAGCGGCCAGGTGTCTCAGACCACAAGCTCGGAACAGAATGCCCTGCATAGCTCAAGGTGGGCAAAATGGAGTTGACAGGATCGTTCAAAACGTGTTCATCACAGCCAAGCTAGCGTATTTCAGCATCTCATCTGGTTCAGCAGGGCCAGGCATCTCCCGACAAGGCGGGCCCTATAGCCAGAGGGCGTCAGAGGCCTGAGAGAGGTCTGCACTGCCCCCCCGTCCCCCACACAGCTCTGTCCCCTGAAGGCCCCCTCTCCCCTACAGGCCCTACAGACTGAGAAAGAGGCGCCCCCAGCCTCCCTCGGAGAGGGCTCCTCGGCCACACCTCCCTCCAGAAGCGGCCAGAAGACGAGGCCACTGATCCCCGAAATGTGCTTCACCTCCGGCGGCGAGAACACAGAGCCGCTGCCGGCCAACTCCTACATCGGCGACGATGGGACCAGCCCCCTAATGGCCTGCGCCAAGTGCTGCCTGCAGGTTCACGCCAGTGAGTGCCAGGGACCCAAGGAGCCGCGTCTGCAGTGGGGTGCTGTGGGGAGTGCCGTCCTCCCCTGCAGAAGCCAGGCCGGCCCCTCTCCCTGGCTGCTGTTTTGGGGATGGGGCAGTGGCCTCCCCCGGTAACTTCCTGCAGTTTCGGACTTTCTCGTCTTTCCTGTCATGGGGCTGCTGGCCTGCAGTCCCACCATCTAGAGAAGGGGAAAGGCTGTGGCCACGGAAGGGCCAGGTGACCGCCACCACCCCTAGGCAGGACAGGCCTCCTCTCCCCCAGGGTCTGGAAGACACCAGTGCAGGCCCACGTGCCAGCCTCTGGGGGGAGGAAGCCTTTGTTCTGAGGGCCCTGGGCTCATCCCACCCTGTCCCTGACACCGGGGAGCTCACCCTAAGGCCAGAGTGAGAAGTGGGCCAGGCACGCCCCAGGAGGACCAGAGGCCCGCGCCCTGCCTCCCCCAGGCAGGGCTCCCTGCCAGGCGCTCTCTCTGCCAAGCAGCCTTTGTGGGCAGACATCCCTGCCCTTGACCCTGACCCGGGCACGGTCCCTCCCCTTTGTCCCTCTGGACAGTTCTGCTGCGTCCTTCCCAAGGCCTGGGCAGCAGCAGGAAAAGCTCAGGCGCCCACTACGCCTGTGATTTGGGGCCGGGGTTGAAACTGATGGTCACAGTGAGATTGCCGCGTGGTCCAGGTGTCTGATTTATCTCTGTTCTCAGGGACCCCTCCCCAGTCCTGAGGCTCAACCAGCACACAAGGAAATGGATGTCTCTTTCCCAGGCGCTAGAGGGTGGCAGGAAATGAACTTCCAGCATAGGAGGAGGGCTTTCTGGAGAAGTTTAATTTTCTGTGCCCTGGCCGGGCGGCAGCCATCCATCTCTGTCGGTTTCCTCCTGGCAGTGGCTGTGTCTCCTGGCTGGGAGGGTGTTCACTCTGCTTTGCCGGGCCTGCGTTTGGCATGTGCCCTGGCCAGGTGGGCTCCCTGAGACCCCAGGCCTGCCACAGCCAGGGCACGCCAACCAGGGTCACCCCAGCAGATGCCCCCCCCCCAGCTGTGCCCACCACTCACTGTTCTGGAGGCCGTGAGATCTGGGCCATCAGCCCTGGCAGAGAGCATTTTCCACGCTGCAGGGGCAGAGCCCTGGGACAGGTGGAGCCCCTGCCGTCGCTCTGGGAGCAGAGGCAGAGCCCGGGGGCAGGTGGAGCCCCTGCCGTCGCTCTGGGAGCAGAGGCAGAGCCCTGGGGCAGGTGGAGCCCCTGCCGTCGCTCTGGAAGCAGAGGCAGAGCCCGGGGGCAGGTGGAGCCCCTGCCGTTGCTCTGGGAGCATGACTTGGCCCTCCATGCCCTCTCCCCACTTCCAGACCCAGGGCCACGTCCATAAGCGAGTTGACTCTGCGACCTGGGCCTTTCTGGGCACAAAAGGAGGATCACTGTCAGGGGTGCAGACCGCTGACAAAGGGGCCCTCAAGACACCACCAGGCCAGGCAGAGCAGACCCAGCCGGAGCTCAGGGGCCCTGCTCCTGTCCCTCGTCCTCCTCCCACACGAGCAGCTTCCAGACCTTTCTCTCACTCCACATGCTGGGCCTGGAATGATTCTCAGAGGGTGGTAACAGCAGACACTCTGAATGCTGCAGCGTGTCTGGAGGCCCTCTCACCCCACGTGCAGACACCGGTCCCCGAGCTACCCACACCTCCCCCTGAGTCTCACCCACCTCCCCAGGTCTCAGCTGGCCCCGCTGTCTTCCAGGTTGCTATGGCATCCGTCCCGAGCTGGTCAACGAAGGCTGGACGTGTTCCCGGTGCTCGGCCCACGCCTGGACTGCGGTAACTCGCTCCCTGGGGCAGGGTTGGTGCTCTGAGAGGCCGGGTCCCCGGCCCCACTTCAGCTTTGGGCGGTGACTTCGGGCTGCAGCCTTCCCTCCGTGGGCCTGGGTTCCTCCACCTCCTTCACCTCTGCCCTGAGGGCGTGGAACCTGAGGGACTCCAACTGTCACTTTGGCAGCTGCTAGATTAGAATACAAGGACCGTGGGCTGGGGACAGTTGGCAGATCAGGCCCCATGCAGCGTCTCAGGGAGCCTGCCCAAGCCGCACTCACCCACAGCTGTCTGGTCTCCACAGGAGTGCTGCCTGTGTAACCTTCGAGGAGGTGCGCTGCAGATGACCACCGATAGGAGGTACGTGACGCCGGGCGTGGGCCTGGGGGGCTGGGGGGCTGGACGGGAGCCCACCCTGGGCTGAGGCTCCATGGGGTGTGACCCCAGTGCCCAGGGGTCAGCCGTCACCTTTGTATAACCACCCAGTGTCATGGATGGGGTGGTTGGGGCTGAAGAGGAACACATGCCTGACCTCCCTGAAGGTCCCCACAGCCACATCACGCGCAGCCCCTCTGTGGCCAGCCCAGGCCCTCACAAGCACCCCTGACCACCACCCCCACCCGCCCTGCCAGGTGGATCCACGTGATCTGCGCCATCGCCGTCCCCGAGGCCCGCTTCCTGAACGTGATCGAGCGCCACCCGGTGGACATCAGCGCCATCCCCGAGCAGCGGTGGAAGCTGGTAGGTCCATGTGGTTGAGGCCCACCCTGCCCACACCTCTGGGACCCTCCGGCCAGGCTCAGCTCCCCACCTGCTTGGTCCAAAGCAGTCTTTCCTACAAGCTCTGCATCTCCCCAGGGGTGGGCAGCTCTCGGGAAGCCAGTCACACCGACTTCAGCAGGGGTGTTCCTTTTTGAATTGTCAGCTGAGGCACAAGGTACAAAAGTCAGAAGGCATCCAGGGCGCCACAGACAAGCAGGCCCGTCAGATGCGCCTCGGCCGGCCGTCCTCTGCAGATTCGAGCACCCCACGTGGTTCCCACTTTTCCACAAAAGCAGAGGCACTGCACACGCCCCTACACACCTGGGCCGTCTGAATTTGGTTGTTTTTCTAATAACAAGCCTGGGCAACATGGTGAAACTCTATCTCTATAAAAAATGAAAAACAGTAGCCAGGCAGGGTGGCGCACACCTGTGGTCCCAGCTGCTTGGGAGGCTGAGGTGGGCGAATTGCCTGAACCCAGAGATCCGGGCTGCAGTGAGCTGGGATCACACCGTTACACAGCCTGGGTGACACAGCCAGACCCTGTGTTAAAAAATAAAAAGTTGTAACGATGCTTAGCATGGCAGCTACCCTCTTAACAAGCATCTGAGGTCCGGTACAGCATCGTCACGGGCCCGGTGGGCAGCAGGGCTCTGCGGCCCGTTCACTGCTGTGTGTCACTGAGACTTCACACCTGCCGAGCAGCAGCTCCTCCCACCGCCCCGGCGCCCGGCACTCTGCTGCCGTGTGAGAGGGACTGTGCAGTCTTTATTCTGCGACTGGCTTCTTAAGAGACAGGGTCTCCACTTGGGGAGGCCAAGGTGGGTGGATCGGAAGGTCAGGAGATCAAGACCATCCTGGCCAACCAGAGATAGAGTGCAACCCCATCTCTACTAAAAATACAAAAGTTAGCTGAGTGTGGTGGCAGGCACCTGTAGTCCCAGCTACTCAGGAGGCTGAGGCAGGAGAATCGCTCGAATGCGGGAGGTGGAGGTTGCAGTGAGCTGAGATTGTGCCACTGCACTTCAGCCTGCCGACAGAGTGAGACTCCATCTCAAAAAAAAAAAAGAGAGAAAGAGACAGAATCTCACTCTATTACCCAGGCTGGAGTGCAGTGGTGCCGTCAGAGCTCTCTGCAGCCTCAAACTCCCGGGGTCAAGCAATCCTCCCACCTCGGCCTTGCAAGAGGCTGGAACCAGGAGCACATGCCAAAAACTTAGGCTAACTCATAACTTTTTTGTTAAGAGATGGGGTCTCACTATGTTGCCCCGGCTGGTTTGGGACTCCTGGCCTTGAGACCTTCTTGCCCTGACCTCCTGGGTAGCTGGGATTACAGGTGCAAGTGGTGTCTTCCTTTAGCATAATATCTTCAAGGTTCATCCATATTCATTCAACCCAAATACGGCAAGAGTTTCTTCTTTGATGACTGAGTGACGTTGTGCCGGGTGATGGGCCGTGTTGTGTTTATGCGGGCACCGTCGCTGCCTCTGCCTTCCGGCTCTGTGGGTTGCGCTGTAGCGGATGTGGGAGTGTGGTTGTGCTTCAGGTGTCCTCATGCCATCTCCCACGGACACAGACCCAGCAGTGGGACTACTGGGCTGCTGGGCAGCTCTGTTTTTAGCACTGGAGGAACTGCTGTCCCTTGCGGCTGGACGGACTCCCGTTCCCACCCGGGGTGCAGGGCTCTCCTCTTGCCTCATGCTCACCCACACCTACCTTGCACTTTTTCTGTAGCAGCCCCTAGCTGGTGCGGCTGGTGTCCCGCTGTGGTTTGACGTGTGTCCCTGACAGTCGGTGATGCTGGGCGCCTTTGCAGGGTCCCACTGGCCATCTGCATGCCGTCTTTGGAGAGCATCTGCTCCCCTCCTTCGCCCGTTTTGTGCCCGGGTGGCTCGGCCTTTGTGGTGGAGTTGGAGGAGCTGCTGCTCCACACTCGGTGCACATTGTGGCTCCCCTGTAGGTGAGCGCAGCCTCCTCAGTGCGGCGGAACTCGTGCTGGGGGCTTGTGAGGCTTCCCTCTGCTCTCGGTGGTGACAGCCCCCGCTAGGGAGAATCCCTTGGAGCCACAGTGCAGCCAGGAAGTGGTCACTGCTGGCCACCAGCTGGCTGTGCACTGGGGGCAGATTGCTCGCCCTTGCTGTGCCTCGATGTTCCCCTCTGAGCTGTGGGGTTGCAGCGGTCCCGCTGTGCAGGGCTGCAGTAATGTGAGCTGGGCCCACTCCCAAAGCGTGGAGCACCCCATGTGAGCATGAGCAGCTGCTCAGGGCTGGTCGATCTGTAGCCTCATCCCTGCACCCTCCGTGTCCCCTGCTGCATCTGATCCATGCCGTGAGAGCCTGTGAGGGTGCCCCGCAGTGTCCATTGTGCAGGTGAGGGGCCGGGGCATGGAGGGCTTGGCCGATCGTGGCCTGGGCTGCAGCCCCTCAGGGCCGCCTCTGCCCCACAGCCTCTAGTCCACCTGTGCACATGGCACTTGGGGCTGTCCCCACCTGCTGGAAAATGATGCTTAGCTGGCCCTTTAAATCAGCTTCCTGCAGAGCCTTGGAATGTGGCCCAGAAAGTAGATGAGGAGGCAGGGCGCAGCGGCTCACGCCTGTATCCCAGCACTTTGGGAGGCCGAGGTGGGCGGATCACCTGAGGTCAGGGGTTCCAGTCCAGCCTGGCCAACATGGTGAAACCCCATCTCTACTAAAAACACAAAAATTAGCCAGGTGTGGTGGTGCGCGCCTATAATCCCAGCTACTCTGAAGGCTGAGGCAGGAGAACTGCTTAAACCAGGCAGTTGGAGGTTGCAGTGAGCCAAGATCGCTCCAGCCTGGGTGACAGAGCAAGACTGTCTCAAAAAAATAAAAAAGAGAGAGAGTGAAGGGCAGACATTGCTGGTCCCACATTGGGTGAGGCAGTGCTGACGGGGGGACATGTTTGTCCCCATCCCCTCCGGCCTCTGCACATGTGTCTCATGGGCCCCTGGAGGCTGGGCCCACAGCCAGTGGCACCCCACAGCGTCCTGCGTGGTTTTCCTGCCTGGTTTATCCTCCAACCTCAGACACAGTGCCTGGTGTTGACATTCAGGCTCATATGGAGGTGGGGCTGGAGGCAGACACATCTGGCTGGCAGGGTGAGTCTGCTGAGGAGACCCATGAGGGTCGGACTGAAGCCCACCACGGAGCCCAGGCTCCCAGGCACTGGTGCTAGATGCCCACGAGCCTGGCAGGCTGGGATGCCACGCTCAGAGCCCACAGGTGCCTGAGCGGGGCTGCTCGGGCAGTCACCGAGGCTTATCTGGAAGGGGAGGCCTCAATCATGGGGCAGAGCGTGAGGCAGGTCACGCCAGCTTGGCCGGGCACAGCTGGGCACGGCCGGGTGATTAGGAAGCTGGCAGCCCGAGGGTGATGCTTCCGAGGCACGTGTGACTCAGTCCACAAACTTGGGCATAAAAGGCCTCATTATTCAGGTGGAGCGATGGTGCGGTGTGTGGCACCAGTGATAAATCCTCCCGCCCCAACGCCTTATGGATCTTCTGACATTTCCAGAATGCAGCCTCTTCATTACTGGTGCTTGTAACGATGAATTAAAATGCTTTTACACAAGGCCCGCTTGTACTGCCTAATGGAGCTTCGCAAGGAGGCGGCGGTTAACTCCTGCTCGCCCAGCTACCCACCCACCTTCGCAGGCCACGGCAGGCTGCAGGCACGGGTGCTCACGCCTGGTTCCCTGTCCATCAGTCTGTCTCCAGGACTCCCGAGCCACTGGCTCGGGGCTGCAGGCAGTCCTGGTGAGTCAGGGGCCTCTGGCTGGTCGTCCACCTGCCTGGGCCAGGTTAGCGCCAGGTTCTCAAGATGTGCAGCTAAGAAGCTCCCTCAGCTACCCGCAGGGCTGGCTCCTGGCAGCGGGCAGAATCTCCCTGGAGGAGCTGGGAGGTCGGGGAGGGGCTGGGATGGGAGGAGGCAGCTCGAGGGGCAGTCGCATCAGCTCTCCACACTGTCACTGCCCTGCCTGGGAGTCAGGGCTCGGGCGGGGGCGGGGGGCTCTTGGCTCCTCAGGGGCTGGGGTTGTTTGTAAAAGCAGGCTGGTGGGTAGCCTTATGCCCCAGTGTGGGACAGGCTGAGGACACTGTGTCAGGTCACCCAGTGGTGACCACCTGCCTCCTCCAGTCCGTGGCGCCCTGCAGACCTCCAAAGCCCACCACGCATCATCCTCACAGCTCTGTGGCCTCCGAGGAAGGACACTGAGCTGTGAACTGTGGAGCAAACACTGGTCTGGGCCCTTCCAGGCCCTGAAGGAAGCTGGCAGCCCGAGGGTGATGCTTCCGAGGCACCAGTGACTCAGTCCACAAACTTGGGGCCCCCAGGGTACATCTCTGTCGCCATAGGCCCTGGCTCCCTGGCCACTTCTACACACTGGCAGCTCTGCAGGAGGAGGCGGCTGTGCTGGAGGGCTCCGTGGCACATGGCACGTGTCATGTGACTGCCCTGGGTCAGGCCAGCACTGGAAGTGGCTCTTCAAACTGCAGCTCCAGGGAAGGGAGGTGATGGGGAAGAACACTTGCCTGCCTTCCCATGGCCACAGTGCAGGGCGTGACCAGGACCTCACATTAGGGGTGTGGCTCTGGGCGGCCGTGGCCCCAAGTGCAGCTCCTGACAAATGGCCCCATGGGTCCTGGGGCACGCTCTTCACAGCGTGGAGACTCAGGGGCATGGGCTGCCTGCCACTACAGGGTGGAAGGGGATGGTGCTGTACACCAAACCCAGACTGCCTCAGGGGCAGGTTTCTCCCAGGCCTGGGCCGAGGGGCGGACGCCTGCGGGTGGTGATGTGTTGCAGACAGCTCAGCAACCCCACTGGACAGTGTCCAGGCGGGGCCTCTCTCCACCCCCAGACCCCCAGGGAGCACAGCTGCGACTCCTACACACAGGCCCACCTGCAGGAGGGGGAGGCCACGCTGGAGGGCTGTGTGGCGCATGTCGTGTGACAGGAGAGTCGGGTATTGACAGTTGGATAGCAGGATCTCGATGCTGTTGACCGGCTGCTGCAGCCCGTGGCTTATCTGGCTTTTGAGCGTGGTTTATGGAGCAGGGACGGTGCTGCTTATTAAATGCTTAGCTGGGCCCGGCGCGGGTGTGGCGGCCACCAGGGCCCAGTGCTGACTCGGGCAGGTGCTGCAGCGTGAGCCCCACCGGCTGGAAAGTCCACTGTAGTGCTCCCTCACCACGCAGGCTCCTCTGCGGGGCTTCTTATTAAAATCCACCGTAAAGGACCCACGCGGTGGCGCACACCTGCAATCCCAGCACTTTGTGAGGTCAAGGAGGGAGGATCCCTTGAGCTCAGAAGTTTGAGACCAGCCTGGGCAACACAGCCAGATTCTACCTCTACAAAAAATTATCAGTCGTCCCCATCCCCCACCCTGGTGCCCATGAGTCCACTTCCTGTGTCTGTGGGCTGCCACCCTTGTGTTACGGATCCCGGGTCCCACAGTCTGGCATGCGCCAGCCGCCTACACTCACAGTGGGGCCCCCAGGGTACATCTCTGTCGCCATGTGGTTCCTCTCTGGCTGAGCGACACCACATGGGGCTCCTCAGCGTCTGTCCCAGCAGTCAGTGACACACGGGGGGATGGGGGGGCACTCCTGGGTGTCCCAGTGCCTATTGTTCCCTGGGGGCTGAGTGGCAGGAGGCCGGGTTGGTGGCTCTGGAGGGCTTGGCCAGTGAGGCTGTGGGATCTGGGCTGGGGTGGAGGCCCCTCGCCGGGCGGAGCACCAGACCCCTCCCACGATGCCTCCCTTGAAGGCTGTGCTGGGAGGGGCTGGAGCCTCCACCCCAGGGTCTGTAGGGAAGCTCCCAGCCCCATGCCCCTGTCTGTGTCCCCATCCCCAGAAATGTGTGTACTGCCGGAAGCGGATGAAGAAGGTGTCGGGCGCCTGCATCCAGTGCTCCTATGAGCACTGCTCCACGTCCTTCCACGTGACCTGTGCCCACGCAGCCGGCGTGCTCATGGAGCCGGACGACTGGCCCTATGTGGTCTCCATCACCTGCCTCAAGCACAAGTCGGGGGGCCACGCGGTAAGTGCCTGCCTGCCTCCTCACCCCGGCTCCCCACCCCCACCAGTGCCTGTGCTGACCGTCCCCCTGCCCCCGCACCCTCTGCACCCTCCCAGGTCCAGTTCCTGAGGGCCGTGTCCCTAGGCCAGGTGGTCATCACCAAGAACCGTAACGGGCTGTACTACCGCTGCCGCGTCATCGGGGCTGCCACGCAGACCTGCTACGAAGTGAACTTTGATGACGGCTCCTACAGTGACAACCTGTACCCTGAGAGCGTCACTGTGAGTGTGGGGTGCGGGTGGGGTGGGGTGGGGGAAGTCGGGCTGGGGGGTGCGGGTGGGGTGGGGTGGGGGAAGTCGGGCTGTGGGGCGGGGGCGGGGGGCGGTGGAGGAAGCTGGGAACAGCCTGACTCCAGATCCCTTCATGGGGTCCTCTTGTCCCCAGGCCCCTTCAGGAAAAGCACTGCTTACTGTGCCGTGCAGAAAGCTTGATCAGTGCAGCGTGACCCACTGCGGGGCCTGCGCACCTGCCCCTGGGCCTCCGCGGCCGGCCATGGGGCTGCAGGCAGAAAACCTTGCTTGCCAGCACAGGGGAGGGGCGAAAACCCCTGGCATAGTGTGGCCAGCACCTCAGCTCCCACCCATTCTCCCTGCAGAGTAGGGACTGTGTCCGGCTGGGACCCCCTTCCGAGGGGGAGCTGGTGGAGCTCCGGTGGACCGATGGCAACCTCTACAAGGCCAAGTTCATTTCCTCCGTCACCAGCCACATCTACCAGGTAAGCAGGGGGTCTGGCCGCCCACCACGCCTTCACCAAGCTCTTCCCATGGGTGTGGGGATGGGCAGGTCGCAGCCCTGGCCCAGGTGCCTCTGCCTGGGGCACTGGTGGTGTGGGCTGTGGTGAGTGGTCCTGTGGGGCCTGGCTGAGCCTCGGCTTGCCTGCTTGATGCAGAGGCACAGGGCATGTTGGTTTCAAAGCTAAAAGGGGCCTCCACTGCGTGACATTTTCCTCCGAGACAGCTTCGCAATTCTTCTTAACATAAATTCACCCTTTCACCATTTCAGAGTATACAGCTCAGTACCCGTGGGGTGGTTTTTTTGTCAGATTGGTAGCGAGTTTCTTCTCATGACTATGGAAGAGAAATTATTTAAAAGTGTGGAATTTTAGGCTGGGTACGGTGGTTCATGCCTATAATCCCAGCACTTTGGGAGGCCGAGGCGGACCACTTGACGCCAAGAGTTCAAGACCAGCCTGGGCAACAGAGTGAGAACCCCCCCACTGCCGCCAGCAGCCAACTCTACAATAAAATTTTGAAAATTGGCTGGGCATGGTGCTGTGCACCTGTAGTCCCAGCTGCTCGGGAGGTGGGAGGATTGCTTGAACCCAGGGGGTTGAGGGTGCAATGAGCTCTAACTGAGCCGCTGGACTCCAGCTCGGGCGGCAGTGAGATGCCATCTCAAAAAAAAAAAAAAAAATCTCTGCTGGGAAGATTCTGGTGCTTGCGGTGCACGGCAACACGGGTGGGGGTTTGTGTGGTGGTGACAAGCCTCGGAGTCCGGCCCAGGCAGGTCAGACTAGACTCCGAGCAGGGGAGGATGAGCCAGGATCTCTAGAACGAGGTGGAAGTTTGCTGCAGAGATAGGCCAAACACGTGCCGGGCTCCCTCCTTCCCTCCAGAAGCCTGTGAAGATGATGGGAAAGGCGAACGAATGAGTAGCCATTTATAATGTACACAGTGCACAGCCACACTTGAAAATGACAAGGGAAACTCAGGGTGGGTGTTGACGACACATCCCACAGAAGAACCGATGGAACCTTCCTGCCCTGGCAGGGAATGGACTCGGACTGTGCTGGGGGCTCCCGGGATTGTCCTCACAGCACGAGAGCCCAAGCAGGGCCGGCATCGGGCGGCGGGGTGGGAGCTCACCCCGAGGAAGCCGAGCTACTGGGACAGGAAGTAATGAGATGATGCCAGCTGGGCGGGTGTGGGGCTCAGGCCTGTGATCCCAGCAGTGTGGGAGGCAGAGGCGGGCAGAGCACTTGAGCCCAGGGGTTTGAGACCAGCCCAGGCAACATGGCAAAACCCTGCCTCTACAAAACACAAAATTAGCTGGGCGTAGTGGCACTGGCCTGTAGTCGCAGCTTTTTGGGAGGCTACTTGGGAGGGTCACTGGAGCCCGGTAGGCTGAGGTTCAGTGATCCAAGATCGTGCTGCTACACTCCAGGCTGGGCGACAAAGCAAGTTCCTGTCTCAAAAAAATGTCACGTCTCCAGAGTGTCCATGGGCAGGGCTGTGAAATCAGGAGTGGGAGGTATCGGAAGCCAGCAGGCCACTGTGGAACGCCCGCCTGCCTGCGGGGACCTCGGCCACAGGATCCTGGGAACGCCCTCTGCGGGGGCCAACAAGGTGTCCTGGAGCTGCCCGCCACGCTCCCGAGGCTGAGGCTGGGCCTGGGGGCGGACTGGTTAGCGGGGGCTCCAGTGGGCCCTGGTGACTGCAGAACCGAGTGGATGAGCCCCCAGCCTGTCCAGAACACACACAGCACCTTTCCCTCGCACGTGACCCTTAAGATGCTTCTGAGAAGCGCCGGGCACAATGTCCCCATGGAAAGCCTGGGCAGAGGCACGTGCCTCTCTCATTTCCTGCATCTGCTACTGTATCCAGTTTCCTCCAAATGTTAAAAAGCAAACGCCGCCTTCAGAACCCGCCCCGTGGAGACTCGTAGTGACAGCGCAGGTTCCAGGGAGACCTCTGGAGGAAACCCGTTTGAGCCTCCAGTCAGCCCACAGTTCCCAAACGACCTGAGCACAGGAGGCTCCCCGGGAGCCCACTTGGACCCAGCCGTGTGAGCGCCACCCTCCCAGGAGGCTCTGTGCTCCTGAGAATCTGGGGTGGGTCTCCCCAGTCTTCCTGACCCAGAAATCTGAGCCAGTTTGAGCTGAGTTTCTAGACTGCGCCTTCTCCTTCCGGCAAAGCCACTTCCGTGCCATGCCTGAATCTGTGTGCAGCACCTGCCGGAAGCATAAGAGGCTGATTCAGGGTTGGGGAGCTGGGGAAGGGCTCCGGGTGGGCCCTCGGACCCCTGGGGTGGGAGCTCCAAAACCCGCTGCTGCCCCTGCCACACGGGGGGTGGGAATCACTTTCCAGGGCTCGGACACCGGGACTCCTCTGCCCGGATCCTCTTCGTGGGGCAGGTGCTGGGAAGGGGACTTCTGGTGGCTTCCCTTTACAAATAAGATGGGAGGGACAGGGCAGAGGGTGGCACCTCGGGCCCTCGGTTCCCGGCAGCCTCCTCCACACATCCCCGGGAGATCCATGCTGTCGCCCCAGGACACGGCCCAGAGGTGACTAGCCATCCCAGAATCCACACTGGGCACTCCCAGCCCTGCTCCTCCCGCCACCAGCTGACACACGCCGTCCCCAGGGCCCACCCAGTCTCCATCCCTGGAGAAGTCACAGTGACCAGCAGGCCTGGCCGCCCCGAGGTAGGGTCTGTGCCTGCTTTGAGAGGGAGGGGTTGCAATCCCGGCCTCCACCCTGCACACCACCTGGGACATCTGACCCCAGACACTTCTGTATGGAGACAGGGTCTCCATCTGTCACCCACGCTGGGGCGCAGTGGCATAATTAGAGCTCACTACAGTGTCAGCCTCCCAGGCTCAAGAAATCCTCCCACCTCAGCCTCCTGGGTAGCTGGGACCACAGGCACATGCCACCATGCCCGACTTGTTTTGACTTGTTAAACATAGAAAGCAAGTCCTCTGTGATGGGAACATTGTTCCCCCACAGCAGAATGGCGGTTGGAGCCAGAAAGTGACCACAGCCCCTTTCCTGGCTCGGGGACACGGGCCCATCGCAGTCATGAAATGGGCCTGGAGACGCACATCCCTCTCTGGCACACCCTTCACAGGACAGTGTCATGTTGCCAGAGGCCCCAAGAGGATCTCCATGAGCCTGAGCTGGCACCAAGCTTAACGAGGAGGAAGCGGGGTGCCCTAGTGCCCCATGCCAATCAGGCATTGCCGCCTGGAACTAGGCACCATCTGGGAAGGCTGGAAGGGTGTGGTTTGTCTCTGAATTGAAAAGAAGAGGTGACTGAGCAGTTTTCAGGGGCCACACATAAGCCAGGGGCCCTGTCCTCCTGGTCGGGGGCTCCTGAGCTCAGGCCCCCACGTCCCCCTACCTGGCCTCACCTGCCTCCCAGGCCCTGTTAGGGCATTGTGCCTTCTCTCCCACTCTGTGCCCACCCAGCGACTCTGTCCCCTTGTCCTGGGGCTGTGTCTTCATGGAGACAGATATTTGTCGAGCTGGGAGGAGGTGAGGAGTGAGGGCTCTTTCTCCATGTGGGGGCTTCTGGGCCCCCCCACTGCCCCAGGCTGTCCCATCCTCCACCATGGGGCAGGACCCTCAGGCTGATCCTGTTTGCTTCAAGCGGTGTCAGAGGTGGACACAAGCTTCGGCGTCGCTGCATGTGGCCTCCTGCGGGCCCCATGCACCCAAGGGGCCAGCCTCCCAGCTCGCACGGCCGGGTCCTGCCTGGAGCACCTGCTGGCCTGGCCATGCAGGGCCCCTGAGAGCCGAATCCCCCCTGCAGGTGGAGTTTGAGGATGGGTCCCAGCTGACGGTGAAGCGAGGAGACATCTTCACCCTGGAGGAGGAACTGCCCAAGAGGGTCCGCTCTCGGCTGGTGAGTGTGCAAGGCCAGCCCGGTGGCTGCTGGTGACTCTCAGGGAGCCTGTCTTGGACGAGGCAGGGCATGGACTGCAGCTCCCAATGGCATGGGCACCGCACTCCCTCACCTCTGTCGGTATCCCGCTGGCTCCGCCCCATTACAGCGGGCCTGGGCTCTTCTCAGGAGACCCGTCCTCTCCCTTGAGCCCAGGTGCACAGCTCTTGGGTGATGCCCGTTGGAGGATCCCCAGCCCCTCTCCCTGTCACCCATGCAGAGCAGACCCATCAAGCCCCCTGTGCCCTGCGGGACCTGCGCCGCCCAGCCCTGTAAGGGGCAGCCTCAGCCATAGCAGGTTTCAGGGCACAGGCAGAGCCGCTTGCCCAAGTCGGAGGCCTACGAAAGCTTTCCTGAGCCTGTTCTTGATTAAGCGGGAGCAGGAGTTCTGGAGGCAGGGGCCGCACCGGCTTTCTCTGGCTTTCTCTCCCGCAGCCCTCACCAGCTTCCTCTTTATTTTCTTCTTATGCAGAAGGGAGGCGTTGAGGGACAGAGCCCACAGGGGAGGTGCCTGCTCCTGGGCACAGCTGCTCAGCTGTAGAGGGGTTCCTCAGGGAACAGATGGGGCTGCCAGACGGACGGTCCCAGCCCCAGCCAGGGCTCCCACCCCACTAGAGGCCAGAGCCTGGGGTAGAGTGCGGGATCCCTCCCTCCACTGGCAGGATCGGGGGTTGCATGAAGACGAGCTGCTGAGCAGCAGCCCCAGCGATCAGGGGTCTGTGTCTGGCCGGCTCGTCTCAGAAGCCATAGACAGTGGCCGTGCCGCGCGGAGCCCCCACCACGCTAACCACTGCACTTCCGCTCTCCGCAGTCACTGAGCACGGGGGCACCGCAGGAGCCTGCCTTCTTGGGGGAGGAGGCCAAGGCCGCCAAGCGCCCACGTGTGGGCACCCCGCTCGCCACGGAGGACTCAGGGCGGAGCCAGGACTACGTGGCCTTCGTGGAAAGCCTCCTGCAGGCGCAGGGCCGGCCCGGAGCCCCCTTCTAGGACAGCTGGCCACTCAGGCGACCCTCAGCCCGGCGGGGCAGGCCATGGCACGCCCTGGGCGTTCGCTTGCTGTGAATTCCTGTCCTCGTGTCCCTGGCCCCCAACAGGCCACCTCCAAGCCGCGGGTGCCCCCTAGGGCGACAGGAGCCAGCGGGACGCTGCACGGGGCCCCAGACTCAGGGAGCAGGGCCAGGCGGGCTCGGGGCCAGCTGGGGCTGCACCCCACCCAACTACTCAGAACTTTAAACCATGTAAGCTCTCTTCTTCTCGAAAAGGTGCTACTGCAATGCCCTACTGAGCAACCTTTGAGATTGTCACTTCTGTACATAAACCACCTTTGTGAGGCTCTTTCTATAAATACATATTGTTTAAAAAAAAAAGGAAAAAAAGGAAAATATCCCCAAAGCTGTTTTCTAGATTTGTGGCTTTAAGAAAAACAAAACAAAACAAAAACACGTTTTTCTCAGAACCCGGAATCGCTGCGAGGCTGAAGCAGCTTGCTGTGTTTTTGTTTGCTGTTGTTTTAAAATACTACGATCTGGCTGCAGAGCAGGCAGGGAAGGACACCGGGGAACTGGGGGGTGAGCCCGGCCCCGTCACTCACCCACCGTCTCTCCTCACCTCCCCCGCTCTAGTCCGGGCAACAGCGCCTGTCCCCCTCTGCGCCTGCTGGGAGGAGGCCTGGGCTCCGCTGGGCGCCCCTGTGTGCCAGGGGAAGCCGGGGTCTGGGGCCTCCCTCCGCTGTGCCCACCTGTGCAGAGTGAACTCTCCCCCGGGTTCGTCTATCTTTGTATCTCTCCCCCAAGAGAATCACAGGTGTTCCAGAGGCTTCCTTGCGGACAAAGCACCCTGCCCCTCCCTCGGCTCAGGGTGAGGAGGCCCCAGACCCTTCTGGTCAGGGTGAGTGTGGGCAGCTTCCCTGCTCTTCAGGTGTGACCCTGAGTGGGTCGGGGGGCACAGGGCCAAGACAGGCCTTTGGGGGTCCCATTTACCCGCTTCTGAGCAGGGACGAGGCCAGGTGTCCTCGGTCTGCCCACCCACACTGCTGTCACCTGAGGGGAATCTGCCTATTAGGAGTGGGTTGAGCTGATAGAGAAAACATGGCCTTCAGCCCAGGCTAAGAAGCGCCTTCTCCGGGTGCCTCTCCCCCGCCAGCTCTGCACTCCCTGCGGCGCTCTCTCCACCTCAGCAGTCTCCTGCCAGAGGGAGGGGGGAGGGGATCATTGTATGACAGAGACAAAACAGTGGAGGCAGGAGTTTGGGACCAGCCTGGGCTATGTAGTGAGACGCCATCACTGCAGATGTTTTACACGCTAGCTTGGTGTGGTGCGCGCCTGTGGTCCCAGCCATGTGGGAGGCTGAGCGGGGAGGATCTCTTGAACACAGGAGGTTGAGGCTGCAGTGAGCTATGATTGCGCCACTGCATTCCAGCCTGGGGGACAGAGTGAGAGCCTGTCTCAAAAAGTAACTAGGTAGGTAAATAAAGCAATGTTTATCCTATGAGAGGGTGTCCGCACGGGCCGGGCCGGAGAGAGCCAAGGGAAAGGGGTGGAGCAAGACGCAGGAGCAAGCCCTTCATTTTCTTGGTGGGGGAGGGGGGCGGTGACCCTGCAGAGGGCTGGGGTTGGGGAGGTGGGGGGTGTCAGCCAGAACGTGGGGGTGTCCCTCTGCACGCAGCAGCCTCACCCAGCGTGGCGCTGACACTGTATTCTTATGTTGTTTGAAAATGCTATTTATGTTGTAAAGAAGCGCGGGTGCCCTTGCAGCCGTGGTCCCTAGGGAGCTGCACCCATCCCGTGGACGGGCCACGGAAGGGCAGGCCGGAGCTGCACACTCTCCCCACGAAGGTGTCTCTGTGTCTTACTCTGTGCAAAGACAAGACAAAACCCAGCACCCTGGTTTTTCCCCACCCGAGATGAAGGATGCGCTGTATTTTTTGCCTAATTTCCCCGCCTCTAGGTTCATAATGAATTAAAGGTTCATGAGCACTGCGAACCCCCGTGCCACGCCTTCGAAAGTGTCTTCATTTCTGAGCCTGTGCTGGGGGGACCAATGGCGGGGTCTCCCTGGGGTGGGGCTGGTGTTGCCCCGTCCTCCCAGGAGGCGGTTTGCTTCCAGAGCTGGACATCCCTCCCCTCCCACCTCCGGGGTCCTCGACATGCAACAGCTGGCATGCCCCCCAACTGTGGCCAGGCTGGGTGGCCGGGTGGCTGAGGCAGCGAACCCCACAATTCCCCCTCAGTTCCCGGAGGCCTGGGCCTGGCCTCACTTGTCCCAGCCAGCAGCTGTCCTGTCCCTGTCCCCAACCCGGTTCCAGTGACGCCCGAGCCCCAGGAGCATCACTTGTGGCAGCGGCTGGTGGACGTGCTGGGCACTGGGGCTCACCGCCCTGGGTGGCCACTGGGACCCAGCCATCCTGGCCTAGGTCTCTGCCAGTGCGTGCCCACCCCCACCAGGCACAGGGTCAGCACAGGGAACACGGGAGAGTTGGGCCTCCCTCAGGTGAGCCTCTTGCACCTGGTGTGCTGCCGGACCGTGAAGAGGCCCCTGCAGTGGCAGCAGAGGGAGCAGGAGGAGGAGGGAGGCAGGCTGTGCAGGGCCTGGTGAGCCTCGGGGAGGACTTGGGCTCTGACCCCGAGGGAGGTGGGAGCCATGGAGGGCTGTGGGCAGGGGAGGGATGGGACCTGACTCAGGTGCTCACAGGCGCCCTCTGGTGACTGCTTCAGGGAGGAGATGGGGTGAGAGCAGAAGCCAGGGACCAGGGCAGGGGTCCGGTGTCATGAGAAGCTGCTGGACCCTGGGTGCGTTATCCGGCAGCCAATAGGATTTGCAGATCACTCAAGCCCCTGGAAGGAGGTGCTGAGCTGGGAGGGGGCTGGATTTGAACGCGAGACCTCCAGGCGAAGACGCCTGGGTCTGGGGAGGCTTCCCCGGGGCAGGCGGGCAGGGGCCGTCAGCTTGCAGGTGTTGGAACTAGAGGACGAAGTCGCCTCCAGGGAGGGGTGAAGATGGGGTGGGACCCAGGACTGGGCCTTGTGTGTCTATGGTGTTATGGGGGCTGGGACACCAGGAGGAACTGAGGCCCAGTAGCCAGGGCTCTCGGGGATCCAGCCAGGCCATCCCTCCCTGGGCCCTGGCGTCCCCTCTGCAGGAGTGTCCACCTGCCAGCTGTGCCGAGAGCTTGTGTCCAGAGCAGAGGGTGCCCTTGAGGAAAGCTTCATCCACCGACTGCACCCCAGCCCCGGCGCTGTCTCCTTTCCAGGGCCATCTTGCCTCCAGCATCCTCTCAACACCACCAGGACTCAGTTTCCCTGTCTGCCACAAGCAGGGAGGAGGGGTGCAGGGTGGGGTGAAGCCTGCGACCACAGGAGGCTCGGACCTTCCACCCACCGCAACTTCCCGACAAAGACTGCGTCCCTCTTTTCTCTCAGCCTCAAAAGCCTTCCCTATGTGCGGGGACAGACACAGCCTGAAAGCAAAGCCTCAGGGTGCCGCTCCTCCCCGGGCCCTGTGTGGCACTGACTGATGGGTCAGCCTCCTGAGCCTCCCCAGGTTGCAGAGGGACCGTGGCAGGAGCAGGTGGTGCCCGCAACACCCTTTCCACTGTTCTCCAAAACGCTCTGAAACAGGAAGGCAATTTGGGACAGGCCATTGCTGTCTGCCAAGTGGATAAAAGATGAATGGATAGGTCCCCAAAAGTGCCACTGTGCAGGGCCGACGAGGTCTGCACTCAGGCCTAGGCGGGCGCCCCAGTGCCAAGGTCTCGCCTCTCGGGCAGTATGTGAGACTCCGTGATCAGCACCTGCGTTGGGCCCATTTATTGCAGCTGCCGTATTTCTGTGCAACTCCTGTGCCAGGCTCTGGGGAGATTGCTGAGGAAAGTGAGGAAGAACCAAAAATCATCTTTGACGCATGCTCTGGTGGGTCACAGAAGCCACCAGAGGTGTCAGTGGACAGCCTTCTAAATAGGGACCCTTAAACCAATCTGACCCCCCATGGGATGGCAGATCAGAGAGACTCAGGCTGTGGGTACATTGCGTTGAGAGCAGGTACTTCTAGGGCAAGGCCTGGCAACCTACAGCCCTCTGGCCAAATCCGGCCCTCCACCTGTTTTGTCAATAAAGTTTTATTGGCACATGGTCATGCCCATTTATTCACATATGGCAGCTGGCCCCCTGCAACAGCGGACCGAAGAGTCGCCACAGAGCCCACCTGGCTTGCAAAACCCACTGTAGTTAGAATCTGGTCCTTTACAAAAAAAAATGTGCTCAGCCCAGGATTGTCATGACCGTCCCCCACTCTCACCACCGGCGGTCTCATCACTTCCACCCGCTGCTACTGAGCCATTGCACTGTGCAGGTACTTCCCAGCCCCACCCCAGCCCCCACTCACACTGGGGAGCCAGATGCAGAGGACAGAGCAGGTCCCTGCCCCACAAACCCATGCCCTTTGCAGGTGACAGGTGCCGGCATCCACGTTGCCAGGTGTTAAGAAAAGCACCTGGGAATAGTCCAAATTCTTTGGAAAGTTAAACACAGGCCAGGCACGGTGCCTCACTCCTGTAATCCCAGCACTTTGGGAGGCCGAGGCAGGCAGATCATGCAGTCAAGAGATCCAGACCTGCCTGGCCAACATGCTGAAACCCCGTCTTTACTAAAAATACAGAAATTAGCCAGGCGGGGTGGCAGGTACCTGTAGTCCCAGCTACTCAGGAGGCACGGCAGGAGAATCAATCGCTTAAGCCCAGGAGGCGGAGGCTGCCATGAGCCGAGATCTCACCACTGCACTCACAGCCTGGGTGACAGAGCGAGACTCCCTCTCAAAAAAAAAAAAAAAAAAGAATTAGGGCACCAGGCAAGGTGGCTCACACCTGTAATCTCAGTACTTTAGGAGGCCAAGGTGGGAGCATCACTTGAGGCGAGGATTTCAAGACCAGTCTGGGCAACATAGTAGGACCTATGGCTGAAAATTGTTTTTAATTAGCCAGATGTGGGGGTGCACACCTGTAGTTCCAGCTACTCAGGAGGCTGAGGTTGGGGGATCGTTTGAGCCTAGGAGGTCAGGGCTGCAGTGAGCTGTGATTCTGCTACTGCCAGCCTGTGTGACAGAACCAGATCTCATCTCTAAAAAAAAAAAAAAAAAATGGCCGGGCACCGTGGCTCACACCTGTAATCCCAGCACTTTGGGAGGCCAAGGCAGGTGGATCACCTGAGGTCAGGAGTTCAAGACCAGCCTGGCCAACATGGCGAAACCCCATCTCTACTAAAAATACAAAAATTAGCCGGGCATGATGGTGAGTGTCTGTAATCCCAGCTACTTGGGAGGCTGAGGCAGGAGATTCACTGCTATAAGTAATTGAATAAATACATAAACAGAAGGAGAAGGAACAGTTCTTCCTTACGAGTGAGTCACATTTCACGTAAGAGGGACGAGGAATGTCTTAGTTCCTCTGTGCTGCTACAACAGAAGATCGTGGACTGGGTAATTTACAAAGAACATGGATTTATTTCTCGTGGTTCTGGAGGCTGGGAAGTCCAAGATCAGGGCTCCAGCCTCTGGTGAGGGCTGCTCTCAGCGTTCAGGGTGATTTTTTTTTTTTTTTTTTTTTTTTTGAGACGGAGTTTCACTCTCGTTACCCAGGCTGGAGTGCAATGGCGCGATCTCGGCTCACAGCAACCTCCGCCTCCTGGGATCAGGCAATTCTCCTGCCTCAGCCTCCCAAGTAGCTGGAACTACACGTATACACCACCATGCCCAGCTAATTTTTTGTATTTTTAGTAGAGGTGGGGTTTCACCATGTTGACCAGGATGGTCTCGATCTCTTGACCTCGTGATCCACCCGCCTCAGCCTCCCAAAGTGCTGGGATTATAGGCATGAGCCACTGCGCCCGGCTCCCCCCCCTTTTTTTTTGAGACAGAGTTTCGCTCTTGTTGCCCAGACTGGGGTGCAATGGCGCCATCTCAGCTCACCGCAACCTCTGCCTCCTGGGTTCAAGCGATTCTCCTGCCTCAGCCTCCTGAGTAGCTGGTATTACAGGCATGTGTCACCATGCCTGGCTAATTTTTTTGTGTTTTTAGTTGAGATGGGGTTTCTCCATGTTGGTCAGGCTAGTCTCAAACTGCCAACCTCAGGTGATCCACCTGCCTCAGCCTCCCAAAGTGCTGGGATTACAGGCGTGAGCCACCGCGCCCAGCCCTGTCATTTTACATTTAATCCTGCAGCCAGGTCACCCCAAACGCCTTGTGCACCGCCGATGTGCGGTCAAGGACGCTGTGCGCGCCCCGCTGTCCCCTGGGTGCAGGCTGTGACCACACGCTTTGCAGTCTTTGTTTGATAAATGAAAAGGGATATCTGATGATGGTTTGAACATTCGTTCCTCTGAGAACCAGCGAGGTTGAGCATCCTCTCCTACGATGAAAAGCCTTTTGTCAGGACGGTTTTAAAACATACAATTTTTAAAATTCCGCGACGACCATTTCCTGTCAGCGAGAGGGCTGATGTGATGTGTAATCTTTGCCTTCCCACATCCGTCTAGCTCGGCGTCGGTCGCTGAGATCTGGGTCGGGGTCACACCCAGCTGGTTCTTCTCTTACGTTTGATGTTGATAATGAGAAAAACCAGGTCAGCCGTGGTGGCTCATGTCTGCAATCTCAGCACTTGAGGAAGCGGAGGCGGGAGGATCACTTGAGGCCGGGAGCTGAAGACCAGCCTGGGCAACAGAGTAAGACTGTCTCTACCAAAAGGTAGAAAAGTGAGCTGCGCGTGGTGGCGGGCACCTGTAGTCCCAGCTACTCGGGAGGCTGAGACAGGAGGATCGCCTGAGCGCAGTGAGCTATGATCGCACCACTGGACTCCAGCTGGGGCAAAACAATGAGACCCTTGTTTAAAACAGACAAAAAAGGCTAGGCTTGGTGGCTCACACCTGTAATCCCGGTACTTTGGGAGGCCAAGGCAGGTGGATCGCCTGAGGTCAGGCGTTCAAGACCAGCCTGAC